CGCATCCAAGAGTGCATTGCGAAACCGGGTTATTCGGTCGAGATTGATCTTGAACCGCTCATTTGCTATAGAGACTAAAGTTTGCAGATACTTCTCATTCACCAAAGCAATGTTGTCTCCATTTGCGTTCTGGTAGCCTATGATGGAATCGAAGGAATAACCGGCTGATCGAACAGCTACTATAGGATTTGATTCTCCTTTCGTTGATCCGAGGCTTACAGCACCGCTCTCACGAAATCCAGCTGCTAGTGCTGCATTGAGGACGTGCTGGGCATCGTCTATAGATGCAGTCAAGATGTGCAGAATCTAAGAATTGTTAGATTGTAAATAGTGCTGTTGTTAAAAGTCTCACCATAGGCTCGAATTTGAGATGAATATATCTACTAGAGACGGATGGTCCTTCATTATCGATTTCGGATTTCTTCAGTCCGAAATCAGGCAAAAAGTCATGGTTTTTATCCACGTTCTGGACTGGTTCATGAGAAAGGAACAGCCATGCACCCCCGCCGCCCTTTCCTCCAGGCCCAGCTCGTGAGTCGCCTTCAATAGAGGAATCATCGATGGAAGATTCTGCCTTACGGCCTTCCAGGAACACGCTGATGCGTCCTGAGCAACTGCTGGTCGTGACAAAGCCTTCGAGGCGGTTGATTTCTCCAATCAAATCTCGAATTGGGGCATCGACAGAGCCTTTTGGCGACAGGTCATGGTAGTCGGCATCGGGAGTATCTAGCTGAGCGAGTATTCTTTGCTTGCGAGCTGCGAAGCGGGTGGTCATGACTATGAGGGGTCCGTGGTTTGATAGGGCGGACGAAACTCGTGACACCGCGATGGGTTTTCGCGTTCGTGTGCGTCATCGATGGCCAGTGCGCGCTCCGACCTCCAAACAAACCGAGTCACTCACAACTACTGTAGTAGCTCTTCCACACTTCTGCTGGTCCTCGGAAACGGTAAAATGCCACGTAAATCGACCAAAGAAACTAAATCCGCCGCGCCTAGGAGCTCTTCCAAGCGCCCTGCGCAGGAAACTCCGCAAAGACAATCAAAGAGGGCAAAGGCGACTGCAAGGAAATCCTACGTTGATCCAGGCACCGACACAGATGATGCAGACGAGCAATCAACAAGAAAAGTATCGCCTAGTGTAGACGAACAAGATGGCGCGGCCTCCGACTATGAGGATCATGACGACAAAGAATCATCCGTCGGGTCCGAGGCTGACGAGACTGGCAGCGACGAAGATGATGAGAGCAAGAACTGTAAACTACGAGGGCGCGCTGCTAAGAGCCTTCCTATTCACAAGAAAGATTCCGATGAGCAAGAGTTGTGGAAACCGGGGGCTAAACTTGAGCTGGGAACACGGATAGTCATTAAGAAGCCGAAAGCTCGAGATGCAGGTGATACGCCATACTTGGACCACACGATCCATCCGAACACTTTACTCTTCTTGAAAGAATTGGCAGCCAACAACGATCGAAGTTGGCTAAAGCGTGAGTATTCTTTCTCATATTTCCTTGTTCAAAGCATCTTGGGAATCATGTGCAAAGGTCAACTAACAAATATGTAGTACATGACCCTGATTTTAGAGTGGCATTTCAGGACTTTACAACATTTGCAGGAAAGGTATCAGAAAAGATCATTGAAGCAGACGAGACAATTCCGGAGTTGCCAGTCAAGGATGTCGTAAGTACCCACCCCACCCCATTTTAGTCTGTCTGTTAATGTGCATAGATCTACCGGATCTACAGAGGTGAGGTGCAGGCGCAAAGATATCATACGAAGATACTGACGTAACTAGATATTCGCTTCTCCAAAGACCCAACACCCTACAAGGTAAGCCAGCCTAGTTCACCGTTAATGGAGGAAAGGCTTTGGCGAACATTTATATTGCCAGAGGATTCGATTTCCCAGCTCAACTATCAGGAAATATGAAAACCCATGCTTTAGTGGACGATATCAACTCTGTATTTTCGACAAATGTATTGGAACATGCACTGACAGTTGCAGACGTACTTCTCCGCGGCATGGTCAAGAACTGGACGCAAGGGACCCTATGCACATTACTACGTACAGGTGCAGCCAAAAGGTGGAAGTTTTGTAGGTATGTTCACATTCTTTAGCTCCTTGCTCTGGGGACGGCGTGGAGCTGTGCGCTGTTGTAGAACCTGTTTCCGAGCACGACTTGACCTCGTGGTTACCACCGTCTTCCATCGGCCTAAGTATGCATGTTCTCTGCATGTTTTGCCAATGGTTATACGCATGTGACCATCATAGACTGAGATTCTGTGTGCTGTCTTTTGGCCCTACCGAGTTTTGCGACCAATATCGTGCATCGTAGTGCCACGACTGCGCGACTACTGTCAGAAGCGGACAAGACGATTCTGCTGCCGCTGTGCTGAACGTACCAATACTGGTCAGCAGCAACAATGCTGTTGTATCTGTGGTGCGAGGAGGCATTGCACTGTACCATTGGGTAGCGCTACCAGTTGCACGAGTGGAACATGGCAATGAATGTGCTCCAGCAGTCGCCACCCTTTGGGAGATTGGTAGTGTAACACATCGGATAGCCTCGAGGTTCGGCTGCGGGCCGCATAATGACGCTGGTATCGCACGCGGGTTCGGTGCGCTTCGGTGCGGAGTTGTACTTGGACGCTCCTCGTTCCCCATTGCAACGTGGTAGCGTCATGGATCCCTACATGGTGTTCTTGGTTTCAACATATGCAGTCATGTGCTAACTTTGTAAGGTGGTGGCTATTGGCAACCAGACGCAGCAGCTCTTGGTAAACTTCGTCACGACATCGATCGCAAACCGCACAAGATCAAATCTGTCCTTCGAAACCGCCAGTTCAGAGAAACGTTTCTGGGGGGCGTGCAAGACGACGATAAGAAGGCGGTCAGGGCCTTTACAAGCTTATCCATGAACCAGTCAAACGCATTGAAGCGTAATCCCAAGGTAAGTGATATGTTTTTTGTCTTTTTGATCCAAAACCGGCAACAATCTCCAGAGGGGCATCAAAGTTAGCGTTGCGTCTGACACATGTGGCATGGTTGTGATTGGCCCATGGACCGGACGGCTGATCCGGGCTTAAGGTTAGCAACAGCCATGATAGGATTACTCATGTGGCCGCTACAAACCGGGAGGATTAAGCTTTGGGTGTGTGTATCTGGAGCTTCTGCGTTCCAACGCTGTGCCGTAGGGCAATTAGAGTTTCAAGCCGCCCCGCATCCAATAAGCCGAGAGCAGCGGTTAGGACGACAGCTCAGCTAGTCGACAGTTTTTCTCAAAGCTCAGCAACGAAACGGACGGGATGCATTTGGGACTATGCCTGATAGAGTTTGCTGACAGGTGGGCCAGGGATACGATCATGATCACAAAGACATTGATCTTTTGCGGCTCCGCAACTTTACGATTGGTTGTACGGTTGCAGACGAAGTCATTGTCGGCACGGGCGGGTTGGAGCGAGTAGCTGAGGTGGTAAGGGCAATGGTGCCATTTGTAAGTTTGCAGTTTCGTTTGTCCAAGATGGAGGATATGGGTGTTTGATTGGACAGGGCAGGGCAGAAGCGGCCGCAGCTTGTTAGGAAGAGCCCTGTACAAGGCAAGCGACGGTGCAGTCACCCGGGCAGCGCAAGATGCAGTCTTTGTCGAGGCATTAGGCGTGGATGGCGGCTAACGGGAGGTGCAGATTACGTATCTCAACAGCGTTGTCATGCCGGACGAGGACACGTCGGGGTCAAGCAGTGAAGGCGAGGATGATGATGCAGACCAAGGTGCAGATGAGGAGGCGGAAGCATAGGGAGGTGCAGATGCAGACGCAGACGCAGATGAAGGCAATGGGTCGCCCAACCACAGACAGGAAGCAATGGAGAGGATGACGAGGCTTGACAAGAGCAATTTCAGCAACGCATGTTCATGGCGCGGTGTCTGGGGCCGAAGTCATGCGGATCGAGGGATTGGGCGTCGGGGGCAGACAGGTGGAGAGTCGAAGGTGGGCCACAAGCGCGAAGCCCGCCAATAGACGCCCGTGTAACCCTGCGGCAGTGGCGCTGACTGGCTGGCCCAAGCGAAGGGCATGCAGCGAGCCAAGTCATCGTGCGTTAGCCGGCCAGCCCGTTCTCGCTCGCGCCTGGCGTTGCGGGAGACCGCATGACACTAACGGTCATGTGACGCGCTAGTGTAGCGTTCGGGTCTGCTGCACGTTCAGATCCTAGCCCACGCAAATCGCTCCGAACAGGCAAGGCTTCTCCGTTCCCCCCGGTCCCAGTCCTTGATTCTGCCCTCTGCCCTCTGGCGCGGGCCTGCCGCCCTCTCCTAGCGCCTCCTATCCAACCAGCAACCAAGTCCAAGTCCAACCAGCAACCGAGCAGGGTAGGGGCTGCGGGGACGAGCGAGCCACCGACCGAGTGCGAGGGGGGAGGGGGGAGGGGGCAGGACAACACAGCACACCGCAGCACAGCACAGCACTGCACTGCACATTCTGCTCGCTCGCTCCCTTCTCTCCCTCCCACTCGATGCGACTCGACTCGACGCGAGGCATGGCCATGACCGCATCAATGTCGCCGCCGCCGCCGCTCCTCCTCCTAGCCCCTCGATGACATTGCCGCCCTCGCTCGACCTGCTGGGGTATGTGTGCACTCACTGCTCTGTCCGCTCGCCCCATCACCTGCCCTCTTCGCACGCTCCTGACTGCTGTGACATGCTGTACACGTTGCGTTAGGCTGATACGGCCACGGCCCGGGGCGCACTCGTTGTCCGTCTGGGATGCATGGGTGCTGCTCTAACGCGTCGGATCAAGGCCAGCTGCATCGCATGGCATGACGATGGCTTCACCAGCTCCTCGACAGACTGCCCAAAGTTGGCACGCCGGCTAGCGACTGGCACTGGCGTTGATTCCGTCAGCGCCATGCAGTGCACCTCTGCGACCGCATCACCTTCTTCGGCCGCCGGCGATACTTACTGCCCAAGACTTACGCCATCAGCCCCAACACGAACACGTGTGAGTCAAATGCCCAGCTGCGACTCGTCTGCCGCCTGCGACTCCTACTTCCCCCCCTTCGGCGGCTCCCGTGCACTTTTTTTTCGAGGCCTTCGTCGCACTCTGTTAAAAAGCGGTGTGCTCGTGGGGCATCGCCAGGTAATATCCAACCCTTTTATCCAACACACCGATGGGTCGCCATAATTCTTTCTTCCGCGAATTAGCACCACTCGGGCTGATCAATGGTCCCGCCACGGCTTGTGGCCGCTTACCCACCCCTTCCGTCGCTCTAAATGACATCTGCCGGCGTTCGTCACACGATTGGTTTTTTTTCAGAAGCCAAAACATGTCGATGCTCAAACCATGTCCGCACAAGCGGTACGGCTTGTCGTTGTTCAGACGTCGTGTTGAGTTGGGGGGCATCATACGATGTTAACAAACCCCCCCAATAAACCAGGCAGCTAAGCGCAGAGGACATACCGCTTACCCGCCAGGGCGTATTCCCTCGCACCGTGCTACTGCAAGGACGGAAGTTATGCGTCCCAGCTTATACATGGACAGATTATAGAATTGCGACGAGCCAAAAGTTGTCATCAGCATGCAGAAGGATGCTTGTGCATTGATGCAAGGACACGGTTCGACAAACGGCGCCTCTGACAGGACTTGTTGCCGCATTTATAGACAATGTTTGTTTGCAGCAGCGTCGATGCGCGTCCTGTCAAAGTTGGTTGATACGTGCCCCTTCCCTGCCTGCAACCTGTCAGACGGCGGAGGCGTCGCACAGGACGCCATTCGTCTCGGAGGCTTGATGATGTCTTCCCGCCTGATATAACCACATTTGGATTTACGCGCAGCTCGCGGCACACGAGACGCGGCACAAGCGACACGGGTCTTCTTTACTGCTTACGAACCACTCATGCTTGCAGCACTCTGCAGGCCTTGCATCTTTTGGGGTCAAGTTGTGTGACACAAACTTCGTTAATCTAAACGTCAACGGGATATATGCGGGAATTCCACACCTCGTCCCGGCCCGCTGATACACACTTGGGACCAAGCGAGTGACTCCGGCATGCTGTATCCACGCGCTGTTCCGCACTCTCGATTGACCGCTGTCAAAAGGGATCCATTCTTGGGGTAATGCGCTTCGCGCCGCAGCCTTAATGTGCGTTGTGCGGACTGCTGCTTGTGCTTGTTTGGGGTGAATCGACCGAAGGGCGGGCGGGTGAAGATCCATCGTGGCTGTTCTTTACCCCACAAATGCACCGTTCGGTTGGTGTAACCGTCATCTACCAGCGGCAATTGACGGCATTTTTGTTTTTTTGCCCACCACACACTTTATACTACATCCACACATGCCCACATACTCGTTCGCATTCGCACTCGCGCTCACGCTCACTCAAAGGCTGCCAACACGGAGGTGACGACCGCCGTGGCAATAAGACACGTTCATGGTCCGTTCTTTGTCGCTGAGTACCCTGGGACCACTGGCTGCATCTGCGCTCATTAAACATGGGCTCGTGACTGACTCGGATGTCGAAATGCGGTGTGGCAGTCAATCAAAGCACAACAATAATCAAATGCGCTTTGCCGTGACCGGTGAATGTGTCTGCTCGCAGCAACGTCGTAAAGTGCAAAGGCTCGAGCGAGGTATGTATGTCATCACGTCTTGTGACGCAGACCGGGGGTGTTTTGCTGTTGTTTTTGCCTGCGCATGATGCACATTGGAGATTTGCCCGTCTCCCAGCAGATGCAAGGCACACGCACACGCACACACATAAAGAGACACATATGAGCAGCCATTTGGAGGTGGGAATTTTGCTGACTGGAGAATTCAATATTAATGCCGGGTGGATGATTGGCTGACGGAATTGACTCCAACCTGGCTGCGGAAGGCGTGGATTGAATCTCCGCGGGCCGTCCGCCCCAATCTGGAGGGAGAGAGAGAGGGAGGGAATGAAGAATAGGTAGGCGGTGCGCCCCAAGGATAGCTGCAAACTACGGCAGGCTGACGATTCTTTGCTGGAGCGTTGCGTCGTCACCCATTATGCAGCCAGTCGAAAACAGGCCGGCAAGGTGCCGAGGCTGAATACGCTCTGGGCGTTTCGCCATTCTGTTGCCTCGTGGTGGCTACATCCGCGCAAGTCCGAGAGAGCCTCGTCACCAGCGGGCAATCCGGCAGTGGGAGGGAAAATCCTACAAAGGCTCTTTGTCTGCGTGTGTATTGCAGAAAAAAGGCAGACGTCGAATCAGAAGGGCTAGCAGGCGTTTGGCCATGGGTAGCGGTTTGCAAGCCGCACGCCGGTGCAAGGGACGAACGATGGGCCAAATTGTGGAGGCCAGATGACGAGGCGTGATTCGAGGACGAAAGCGAGGTGCGTCGGATGCCGCCCGTCTTACATGAAGCAATGGCAGCTGAGAAAGCGGCCATGTCGGGCATGCTTTGAGGCGCAAGGCTGGCCAGAGCCGGCACTATTATGCAGCAGACTGGGCAGAGACGAAAACTCTACCGGCAATGGTGGAGCTTGCAGCGGTCATTTGCTGGAGCTGGAGTCGCTGGAGCAAGTTGGAGCTGCTGCTGGCTGGAGCGAACGGTTCTCCCGGCGCAAGACATATCGGCCCTCCCGCGTGCTACACTGCCCCGCGAGCGAGCGAGTGCCTGAGGTCGCCGAGTCGCACCGGTGGGCGCGCGCCCTTGACTAGCCATGGCAAGGAACTCACGTCACAACGCTGCAAACAGCACAAGGCCGTTGCCGCAGTGTTCCACACCAACTGTCACGACAGGGATGCTGCCGTCCTTGACGAGCAAAACGACCGACGCGCCCGGATTCATCAGCCCTATCAGATATTGCAGCAGATGAAGGGCAACAGGGCGCCTCGTGGCCTATGAAGCAAAAGCTCACGCACATGGCTGCTGGGGAGGAGGGGGATGGAGGCATCAACGATGCGAGATGATTGTGGTTGTCGTCATGATGTGGATGGCAGTGTTTGGTCGTGGACGAGTCCAAAAAGCAGGCATGGCGGGCGGGCAGCATGGCAACAATGGCCGCCGCCGCCGCCTTCGCCGCTCAGCAAGGCCAGCAAAGCACGGTGCGACCATGACGGGCTGTAGGCCTGCTCGTACCGTGGTTCGTAAGCTGTCGCATGTCCCGAGCTATGTCCTTCGCGAAGGACGCGACACAAGGAAGGACGCAGAGACGGCCCGTCGACGACTCAAGAGCCCCGAGGTGCTCCCACTAAGTACAGACACTACTGTGCCACTTCTGCGTGCATGCGTGGGCGACGCCGCCGCCTCTGGCAGCTGCTTCTGCAACGACGGCTGGGAGGCGGCCGCGCGGAGCAGACTCGACAGACAAGCAGCGCTGGCTGGCACGGCGAGGCGGCCGCGGGCGGAGCTGGGAGTGCGAGGGCGGTGGTGACATGGACGCTGATTGCAGCGGCCTGTATATAATTAAAGGCTCGTAGATCACAGCGCGACGGGAGTCCCCGAGCTCTTGGCGAGTCATACATCTCAAGCAAGCTGCCGGCCCGCAGCATCATCATGCACACGGGCCCGGGCTCCTAGGTCATACGCCAACCAGCAAGGGGCCTGACTCTGGGTGCGAGGGGGGGGGGTTGCAGGCCACGCCCGCCGTGGATGGCATGGCGGGCTGGTGGACTGGTGGATTGGCGGATGTAGATACGTCGTTGCTGTGGGACGCCCGCTGGGGGGGGGTGAGGGAGGGAGGGAAGGGAGGCGTGATGCGATGCTACACCTACAGCCGCGGCTATGCCCACTGCCACCACCACCACCAGGCCATCGATCCGCCGGCGCCGCTCCAGGGCCTTCTCTTGCCTTCGCCCGTCTGCGTCTGATGCTGCTGCTACTACTACTACTGCTGCTGCTGCTAATGCTGCTGCAGGCGGGTGGTGTGTGGCTGCACGTCCAATGCAAGTGAGGATGCCGCATGGCCTTTAGCGCGTTTGGCGGACCGTCGCCGTCGTCGCTGCATGGGGCGGGCAGGGATAAAAACGCCATCCTAGTAGAAGCGGCGAGAAGGTTGAGTTCTCGGGCACGCGGTGGGTAGTGTAATAGCGGCCGCTCCAACCTGAATCTCCTTTTTCGCTTCCACGCTCTTGGGTCCCGTCTCCTCCACGCGCTTCGAGAAGCCTTCACCTCCACAGCCTTTCCCTCAACCTACGACAGCCCCCTTCGCAAGCTGACGCACCCCCGACCCCAAGACACGTCCAACCAGCCCAGTCGCCCACCGCCCTTGTCCTGTGTGCACAACCCCCCTCGCCCCATTCCTCCGATCCGCCCACCTCGGCTTGGCTCTGCAACAAGTGCCCAATTTGCTCTGCCTTCTCTTCTCACCTGCAGCAACAGCCGACCTTGCGGCCCGCTTGCCAGTATTTTGTGACACCTCACCCGCCCCAGAGGATCTCCCGCACCACCAGACCAAAACCAACGTCTCTCCCACTTCCTTTGACGTCGAGGCTGGCCCATCTGTGTGTTGCACTGGTCAAGAGCGGCGTGTGATTGACAGGCACCACGTTGTGCCCGCCATCGAATTAGACGGCCCGCACACACACACTCTCACACACTCTCACACACTCTCACACACACTCACACTCACCGCACACACACATACGCTCTCTCCTTCTCCTTCTCCCTCTCCCTCGCGCACACACACACACACACAGTCTCTCTCTCTCTCTCTGCCTCTCTTACTCACATTCACCCACCTACACAATCTCGCCTACCGCTACCGCCACTCGTCCGCGAGCAATGTTCCCTCACCAGGGTGGCCAAGGCCAGCTTCCCACCCACTGGCAGCCGCCTACCTCGCAGCAGCCTGCGAATGGCTCTTATGCGCCGCCTCCCCATGTAAGTCGCTCTTGTGCTCGCTCGTCCTCTCTTGCCTGTTACGCGAGCCTTGCAAATCAGCACTGGTAGTGCCCACGTCATCTCGTCTTCTGGGTGACAGCTTGCTGACATTTGACGTCAACCCAGATGAACACCACGCTTCCTCCTCCACCGCCCCAAGAGCCACGACCCGACATGGCTCAACATCCTCAATATCAGCACCCGCACCCCCAGCCCTACCGTCTCCCAGGTCCCAATGAGTGGACGCGTGCTCCTCCTCCACCAGATCCATACCGCCAGCAGCCTCCTCCACCACCGCAATATGTCCAGCAGCACCACCAGCCGCCAGCTCCTCGCCAGCGCACTGCCATTGCCTGCCGGTACTGCAGACGCCGCAAGGTACTTGATCGCCCAACGCAATGCATCGAGATAACATAGCTTACCCTGACCCATAGATTCGATGCTCGGGCTTCGAGGCGACAGAGGACGGCCGCTGCTCCAACTGCATGAGGTTCAACCAAGATTGCATCTTCACACCCGTTTCCGCACAGACTCAGGCTTTTGTTCCTGCCCACACCGTCTGGCGAGGTGTTGGCCAACCGCCACCCATGTATGGCGCCTATGGCCAGCCTCTTCCTCCTGCTAGCCATGGTGAGCCCTATGGCCAGCCGGCGCGTCCGCAGCAATATCTGCCCAGCCCAACTGCAGGTCCGTACCAAGCTCATTCTGAATATGGTCCACCAGGTGCTTCACCAGATGAGGCAAGCCGTGACGCCATGGCTGGCAGGAAGAGGCTCCACCCAGAGCCTCACACTCCAACCTTGCCTCCGCCACATCCTGGCTCAGCGTCACAGGCTCCTCATCGAGGCACAGGACCAGAGTATGCCTACCCAGAGCCACCATCTCTAACATCGGCTGCTCCAACAGCAAACCCACCAACCGCATATTCGTCTGGTCCTCCACCCGCCCAACCCTACTACGCCGCACAACCGCCGCGCCAGGGCTCCCCACAGAGCGCTTATCGCTACGAGCCAAGTCGCAATTCGTCTTCGCCACATTCACAAGCGCCCACGACGCCCGGTGCTCCGCCCACACCCTACTACGGCGCTCCTCAAACAAACGGTGTTCTACAGCCTCCACCACCCCGCAGCGATGGCCGCACGCCACCACCGCCCACATCGCAAGCTTCGGCAAGGCCGAGCATGCGTATTAACGACCTAGTAACCGACAATGGCCCGGCTCGCAGCTCGACCGACTCGTCCATGCTCAATATGCTCAATCGCCGACCCATGTAAATCTTTTGTCTCGAATCAGAGGCAATGCTCTGAAGCTGGTCTTTCGAGAGCGCTACACACAACCTGGATCAAGCAAAGGGAAAAATTACAGCAAAAAATTTCGATTGATTGCGACACACGACCTTTACTCGATTTCCTCGTGTAACAACCTTTCTTCCTGTCCTGTCGACATCTGCTATCGCAAGGAGTTCTGGCTGGTAACAGCATGCTTTCTGGGCGGAATTCTGCTTTTAAACGGCGATAAAGAGCATCGAGACTTTTCTATTTAATACTGAAAGATCTACCTTACTGTCATTTCCGGGGTTTGTTTTTTGTTTTTTGTTTTCTCTGTTTTCCTATCATCTCGAGTGCGGAGGTTGCTAATCTGACAATGTGCGCGCTCATTCGGGTCCCTCGGAGTGAGTGTAGCATATTTTTAACGTTTGGCGGCAAGCGCTCGATTCCGGCTGTTCTGTTTGAACATAAGCTACTAAACTGGGTGGTATTCTGTCTTTTCCTGCAAGCTTTTAGAACTGGAGGGTTGCATCATGTCACGGAGGCTTGGTTGATAGTGGCATCATCTCAAGGCCTGGGTCGAACCAGCTCTTTACGTGCTTCACTGCATTGGCTGGGGTAGTGGTAGTTTGTGCTTTTTTGTACATGTTTGTTACGGTTCATGTTATCCATTTAGGTGCGGTTGCTATATTCCCCTTCTTCTAACTGTCTCTACCGCATTCTAAACTTCTCTCTATTCTGTCTGGGATCTTTCTCACTGGTGGGCGGCTATCTGAATTTTTACTCGCAAAGACACGTCCAAAGGCAAATGGGTCATCAGCAGCAACGTTATGTAGTATTTGTTTTTCTTGGTTTTTTACTCTTGTTACGTTTTGGACTAGCTATCTAAATTGAAGACGTTTGATGGTGTAATGCTTACTGGGCTTTGGTTGTCTTGGTCAACGGTGAAGAGTATGTCTTCCTTTGCGTGTCAGCTTACACTAACGTTGCTACTACCATGTATGTAACCACCACTACCATGCTGAGTCACATTCATTTGGGGGAGGGGGGGAAGAGAACGTGGTGTACTTACATTTGGTTGCACACCAACATAAGCACGAGCAACGCAGGGTCGATCCGAGTACGAGGACGGATACGCACGTGTAGTGCCTTCCTTTTCCGTGTATACCGCTTCCCACCCCCCACAGAAGAGAAAAGTAACCACCCGCCACGGACAGCTTGGACCACACACTTCGCACTTGTTCTGCTCATTCTCATTCCGGCACCCGGTTCTCGATCGATCCAAGTACCAGGGAAACTGGACATGTCTTGCAGCTCGACTGTCCATCGTACCAGGCCTCTCTGCTCATTACACGCATGACTGGCACAACTGACACCCGATGGTCGCACCAGCCTGTGCGTCCGGCAGCCGCCACACTCATCACGCCAGACAAACGCTATTGATCAGAAAAGTCCTCAAGCCGCGATTCCGTATCGGGATCTTTCGGCAACGATAACTGCTCGGTCAAGCCATTTGACACCGGTACGGCACGGAGCGTCCAGCCGGTCGACTGCGAGTGCGAGCGCGATGCTGCTCGAGTTGCATCGAGATTTACATCATTGGGCTTGGTTCAGCGCCGCACTTATTACATGGTACAGAGATATGGGCCTGATGCATTGTACGGTAGCAGTACCGCCGTCGCCATCTAGTCTGGAGGGGGTGATTGCTTCTGACAACTGGAAGGGCACGGGAAGAGGCGCTATGGCGCTCGGAGCAGAGGGTTATCAGATGCAGGGAAGACAAAGGACCTTGTTGGTCCTGAGCTTTAGTGTACCGACATCTTGTGGCGTTGGTGTGTCTGTGTCGGGCGGCCAGATGATGATCCGGTCATGTCAAGTCAACGCTTGGTGGCGCTATCACAATCTTTCTACTACTATCCATGGCCGAGGCCAACCAAAGCAAGTACGGAAAGGTTACGTTTTGTCTTCCCGTCGGCTGCCGGCGTGCACATGATCAGCCCATGAAGCGAACCAGCCGTGTAGTACATGTATGTGCTATTACGGCTGTCGAATTGAGGGGGTTTCTAACATTACTAGCTAGATGGGGCTCGCTATTGTAGCGTACAATAACCTTCATCCAACACATTCTAAGTGGATTAACGGAACGGAGCGAGAAGCAAAGTTTGAGCCGCGATGCTACTAGGACAAGTCGGCAGCCGTCATAGGGCGTCCAACAAATACCTAAAGTACTTGGCCGAGCACAAGATGCAGGGCAATTCCCCACTGACCCAAGAACGAATACGACTTCAATACATGAATGCCGCACTCGCAAACGACGATTTGTTCGCTCTGCAGCTATAGCTGTTTGTCGAGCCGAAAAGAAGAATTCGAAAACTGACATCAGGTAAAAGGAGCATACGCCGGAGCACACGACTAGAATTCATTGCCCTGACAATCCTTTCCTCCGAAAGTGAAACAGAAACTTGTTCCCACGCAAGGAGCTATTATAGAGGCCAGGTTCAAGGTTCTTCCTGTCTGACTTGATCTTGGTTGCTGGGCTCCGTTGGGTTTATTGATTCCGTGAGATGGGCAAGAAGGATTGGCAAGGGTACGTAGACGGACCTGTCACGATTCGCTTTCAGCCTGTTCTCCGTTTCAGGCACGAACCGCAACGGCCCAGCATCCTTTCCCATTCCCTCTCCCTCCCGCAGCACGCGCACACACGGGGCCGCATCACTCAAGTCTACACGTGAAATGTCTCGAACCTGGTATCAGACCCGTGTATTCCGAGGCCCCCCGCATACTTATCATACAAACAATCCTTCCTCGGAACTACCCATTGGGGACAATGACATGGGGCGTTCCCACTGCAAGCGAAAAAGCAATGAAAAACGACGTTTGGGGCAAGGGCTTGTCACGGGATGGTGCGGGACACAAGGAATGGGAAGCACGTTTCGAGCATGGGGCCGTCGGCCGCCGCCATGTGTTGTGTCGCGCAAACTGAGTCAGAAAAAGAGGCTATCATAGGCTAGAGACCCTGTCCTTGCTCTCTCCAATCTCACGCCTCAGCTTAGCCCATCACTAGTGTACCGCTCTTTTTCCTTTCCGATCTTTTTTTTTTCCTCTTCTCTTTTTCAGCTTTGGTTCGGAGCGTGCAGGTCCGAAATACACACTGTGCGCTTTCCTGGCCAGTACTTAGACCAGGTAGTGCCTTGGTCATTCGCTCGAGCAAAAAATCTTACCGATGGATTCCTGGCTGTGTGAGAGACGAGGGTGAGCTACATGATGGATTGTCGGAGGAGCGGAGCGAGGGACGGTGACTTCCACCACACTTCCCCCCAAGAGGAACCGACCCATGTTACGTACTTCCATACTATTCCTGTTGCCTTCATCACATCCATGGCAGTAACGTCAACCGCGCCACGGTGGTATTTGCGGCAAAAAGAGCCAAGGCACGCACGCATATCGCGTGGCCATCCGTAGGTCTCCCCCTTCCCTTCCTTCCACCCTTGTCTCTTCTATCCAATCGCTCGTCCGTTCAAGTGCGCAAAGGAATAAGACCCTGGACCCATTTCTTCCGTGCGTTCTCACGGTGGCACCCCCCCTTGACCAAGCACAGGAAGCAACCGCAGGACATGTGCCTGTCTGTATCCGATGCGATGCCGAATGCCACGTATCGTTGGGGCCCTCTTAATGTCATCATCATCCACTTCTGTTCCGTTGTCCGGCCGCGACAGCCGTACATATGCATTGATGAGTCTTCAAACTGCCGGTATACGGAGGACCCCAAGATCTTGCTAAACAAAACCCACATTGAACAATAAGGTCGAGCGAGCGGGAAGTTAATCATGGGAAAGCGAAAGTCAGTTTAGCAAGTGAATCCCGCTTAACACTGCTGCTACTACTGCCGCCATCAAAGCAAAAAAAAAACGTCTCCCCAGCTTATCCCTTGCACACCACTAGCTTCTGCCACATAAGCCACAGACAGGCACTCGCAGTCACATTCCCTTCTCCCTATGTGCCAACATGTCTAATCTGAGACTCTCACCTGAACGTTCTTCCTTTTCCCTTTCAGCTCACACTACGGCAAACGCCTTTTTTCTAATGCGCAGGCCAATAGCAACGCCAGCGCCTAACCTTCTCACAGCAAATGCACATGACTTGTGGTGCCCATATTCCATTCCGCAGCCAAGTCACAGTCACCACGCCAAGTCCCTGAGTAAGCTGGAGGGGAAAAAGAACAAGAAGCAAGAAAGACGAGAGAGAAGGAAGAAACGCCATGACGAGCGGTGAGCGTACCCGACGCTACCATCTTTTTCCTGATTCCCCCCTCCCTTCCCTCCTGTGATCCTCTCCTCTCCATCCACCAAAAACAACAAATCAAACTCTGATAACGCCCCCTCCTCTCCTCCTCCCTTCCCTTCCCTTCTTCCCCCCACCCCACTAGCCGCGCAACGTCACCGCAGCCCCATCCACCAGAATCCCTCCTTTCCCTCAATGGAACCCACTTTTTGTGCCCTCGCAAACAAGAAAACTAAAAGCACTAGCGTACCGTATCTCGTGCATCGGAAAAGAGCCTAGCGCCCGGCTTTGCCTCCCCCCCCTTCCCTTTCCCCTCACCAAGACAGCAGAAAAAATGGACGCCACATAGGCGCGTGGTAAGTTGGTAGCTGAAAGGATTTTTTTTTGTTTTACACTTTCTATTTGCTCTTACTTTCTTTACGGTAGGTAAGTAGAGAAGTGGGGAAAGGGTCTAGATGGGGGCCGGACGGTCCGTTTCTGCCTCTCGGCTTGTAGTTGCGCCAGAGCCAGATCTAAGAATGCCTTTTTTTTAACACCTAGTAGCTCTAGTAGGTAGAGGCAGCGGAAGGACACAAAGCAAAGTAGAGTAAAGCAAAAATAAAATGTTGAGCACTGGCTCTTTGATTTTGATTTTTTTTTTTTTGCGTTGCTTTGCTTTACTTTGGTGGCTTGCGCTGCGCTGCGCTGCGGGCAAGTGGGGAGGCGGGTGGGGTGGCTTGCGTGCCGTGAGTGCGTATGTAATGTGTTATGCGGACTTGGACTGGGTTTGCTTTATTGAAGGTGGAGGGTTGGATGTGGGGAGGGGGGTTGCTGGGTTTCCTTACCTGGTGCTATGGAGGCAAGGGGTTGGGGGAGAGGGAGGGGGGAAGACGGGGCGCGTGTTTTAGAGTTTCTTGGAGGTTCTTGGAGGTTGGGTTGGGGTTGGGGCGGCGGAGAGAGAGAGAGCGAGGCTGGTACTGGGGTTGTTGTTGTCGTTCTTGTTGTTGTTGTTGTCGGCGTCATGTTTGCGTAGGTTGGGGGGGGATTATTTCCGTGTTAGATTTTTTTTATTGTTGTTTGTTTTGCTTTTCTGGGGAAAGAGAGTATGTGTTGGGCGGATATATCCCTTGGGGTGTTTCTTTGATTGGATTGGTGACGTAGGCGTTGGAGGAAGTTGGGTTTGTTGGATGAAGAGTGTGGTAGTGCTTGCCGGGGCTGTGGTCGGTGCGTATGGGGGGTTAGGTACTTTTGTAAAGTAGTTCTCTTCAAGTATCGTTCACACATGACGAGTTTTTAATATTGATTTTCAGGCACAACATCGTGGGTGCGTCATTTGTGGCAGGTGAGGATCGGTTCGACATACCCATTCTGAACAAAAGACTTTACACTCCACCCCCCCCTCCCCCCATTTCATCGGAATTAAAGTTTTTGTTTCTCCGTATCTGTGTTCAAAACTATGGAAACCACAAGGTTTTCGTTGAGTATATCGTTTACCTAAAAACCTAAAGCATAAGCCAGAAAGGAAAGATGGGGGGAAACTCAGTTCAAGAACCTAATATTGCTCTTAAACTCACCAATCAACTCAGTAATGATCTACGAAAAAAAAGGGTAAAAATCACTATCTACACTTTTCCTTTCCATCCCAGAATGGAAAGGAAAAATAAACCCCCCTTCCCCCCGAAATCACAAAGAAACTTCAAACCATCGCACCGTGTCCCGTTCCCACCCCTCTCCCGCAAAAAAAAGAACTCTACGTTATTGTTCTGCAATCTGAAAAAAAAAAACATCACAGATATGACAAAGAGTAAGTAAGAGAGAAAACAATGTGAACAAAAGACTCCGCAACCGAACCATCCCCCCCTTTCCCAAACGGTTGATGTAACCGTTCATCCAAACTTTTGAGAAAACGAAGGAAAAAAAGAATTTCAAAAACTTCAATGTCTCTTGAAGACATCACACGTCCAAACTGTGATAAACCCAGGCTTCACACCGCGCCAAGTCGCCCGCAACCGAGTAAAGATTGCATTTCGCCTCCTTCTCCTCCTCTGATGACGTGCGGTAGCAAGCGATCTCGTCCTACTATCCGCCGCCGTAGTCGTAGTGTCTGCGATTACCGGCAGCGGCGGCGATAGCTGCAGCGGTGACGGTGATGGTGACGGTGGTAGACGACCAACCGTAATCCCCGAGACACGTCTCGAGTGCGAGACCAAATCCGGCGGACCCGGGTTCGGGGGCCAGATATTCTCGGTAGGAGCGGGATCTAGATACGGGATTCGGGAGAGAAGGCTATTTGGGGGTGGGGGGAAGAGGGTTAGGCCAGGGGTATTAGTGCTGGAGTCTTGACGGTCGTCGTTTTCGTCGTAGTAGCCGGCTAGGGGGTTGTAGTGGGCGTGTGAGGAGGGATCTTGTTGTTCATGATGATGGGGGTGGTGAGCGAGGTATTCGCGGTCGCGAGAGGAGGCGAGGCTGGAAGTGTGTGTTGCGTTTGAAGGGGTGCGGCCGAGGGGTTCGCAGAGCCACCAGTCTATTACGTAGTCGTCTTCTTCCTGCTGGGCATCGCGGAGGCTGTCGATTCGTGAGCGGTGCGAGGAGAGTGAGGTTCGGCTGCTTGGTGGGGGTAAGGTGCTGACGCTGGTGAGCTGGGGGCCGGGAGCATCGTCAGCCATGCGGCCGAGCGATGGGCGAGCGCTTCTACTACTAGAGAAATTGTCGTCCGCACCATTGGTAATTGTGGTGTTCTGAGGCACATGATGGTTCCGGTGTGTAGGTACTAAGGCAGTGTTGTTAGTGTATTCATTTGAGGCATCGCTATCCATGTAATCCCCGGGGAGTACGGGAGCACCATTATAGCAGATTCCGTTAGAGACATGACCAGACATACCATTTCGAAGAACATGACCACTCACGTCTCTGGATGCGATAAAGTCCCCATTGAATTCTCCATCCGAGGTGCCATCTTCCATGTGACCTTGTGTTGCGGGAGCGCCATTATAGTGAGGTTCGTCTGAGCCGTTGACAACCGCACTGTTTGGAGCCATGTGATTTTCCAAGTTATCCGTGTCGGCAGCATTCCTATTGGTATTTTCATACGAGGTATCAGCAGGCTGATCGCTTAGACCTCCTTGGATATCGACCCGGTATAGGGAATCGTCTCTGTCCGATGATTGGTCCGAGACATTATCATTTCTACCAACCCTGTGGTTTCCGGAATCGTCATCATCGGGCGAGGAGGCACCTCCTCTCAGGCCAACGTATGAAGATGGTATTTTGAAATAATATCGCTTCTGAACGTCTTTCCGTCGATTCGGGAACGGCCTGTTGGTCTTTCCCCGTATGTACTCGTTCAGTCCCAACACTGGTACCTGTTTGCGGTTCTGTGTACGTTTTGATGCACAAATGCTGAGTGCATCCATGTATTTGATTAGGGCAGTGTAACTGTCCTTACGCACGCGGATCCTAACCTTATTGATTTCGATATACCTATTAGGATAATACCGTTTCTATGGACTTTTTCCAAGACCCCTCATACAACGAAGTATTCACTTCTCCAAGTCCTTTGATACATGAGATGGCAGATGTCGGTGCGAGATGATTATTAGGCTCGAGAAGATGTTGACTGCAATCAGTAGCTAATCCGGCGGATTGAGCCTTATAGGGGAGAATCACAGCGAGGAGGGCCATAAGGCGACTAACCACATCGTTTTGAGGCGCAATTGAAATTCATTTGTGGCGGCGATGTAATGAAAGAGAAGGATACGTGAGATATGGCTAATTTGTAGGTAGCAATGTGCTGCGCTGAGTGACCCGTGTCCTCGTTGCAACCATAATTCATTATTCTGCTGCCTTCGTCGCAACCACAGTTGACCTAGTTGTCACACCCAATAGGCGTATACCTATTGACAAATTAATATATATTACTAGATAACCCTTTTTAGGTTCGAAAGTGGGGGCTCGCTTACAGATATCTTACAGCTACAAGCCCAAGGTTTCAGTATAGGCCCTTCGTCTAATTCATTACCCTGACTTTCAAGTCATTTTTTATACCCGATTCTAGCAGGTTGGGGCGTGGCCCACCATTCTTTCTAAGAAATAACGATTTTATTCGCTAACGGCGGATCGGAGATAATAAACTCAATTCATACGGCATGACGGTAAATGAAGTCGAAATCGACTTTTGACGAAGCTGAGAAATGGCCTAGAACATTGTGGGCTACCTGTCATTAAAGCTTTCTCAAACGTATCCTCAAAGCGTGAGTAGCATAACGGAAACTGGTCGGAGATAACTAAAGAGCTGTTCACGGTAAGATGCGCTGTGTGATCTGCTCTCGGAGTCAGTCATACGTCAACCGTCTGGGAGTGTTTGTGGCCTGCCTGTTCAACCTGAGAGTGCTACTCGGTTAGGCTAGAGTGGAGAATTCCTTGTTTACGATCATATTGCAAACATATTACTATCTTAGATAATCTTTTGCAATACGATCTTGGTATGTGTGATGTGAAGCAGACTCATGTTCCGACTCATCACATGTCTTGCTACATGACTGTTAGTGAACTGTCATTATTGCGATCTGTAGGCGGCAGGCGGATAACGATATATGTGAATTTAAATGCTGTTGGGACGCTGTGTTAGATGAGAAATTATGTGATGTATGAGGCGAAACAACACACGGTTCTTTGGCCATGCAGGCCGTAGCAAGCAGAGATCAATTACGCCTGCTTCTGCACACACGAATCAAGGAAGTACTTCCTTCCCATCCCAATCCCAACACTTCCCTCGTCCTTCGACTCCCACTTGCTTGATGACGTCGATAAGTCTTTCAGCAACCCATTCGCGCTCAAATAGCTTTTCCTTTTTGACGTTGGCCCAAAAGTCCTTGCTTAAACCGGTCTTGACGGTGCCTGGATGTAAAGCCACTGCCATTGCATTCTCTCCAGACGCAGTGCGAAGATGATTATCGAATGTTTTTACTGTTTGATTGACACCTGCTTTAGATGCGCGGTAACTGTACCATCCTCCGAGACGATTGTCACTGATGCTACCAACACGAGCTGACATGATAGCCATCGTAGCTATGCTTGGTAAACCATTCATCTCTTCTTGCTCTCTGTCAACGGTGTGAGACTTTCTTGGCAAGAAGGATGAGAAATGTTTGAGCATCAACATTGGACCCAAAGTATTGGTTCGAAAAGTCAACAGCGCATCATCGGCATTAATCTGGGTAGGCGATTTCTCCGGAAAGAGTATTCCAGGTACTATCAACCCCAGCTGAAGCTGATTCGAGCTGCCGCTGAACTGACTTTTACACGCCGCCGCTGTATCTGCGATTGTCTGTTCATCTTCACCGTTATCAGTGGATGCTTTGGAGTAATTTGGATGCAGTTTCTAGGTACCGAGAACATCTAGTTTTAGAACTTTGAGCCTTTTTTCGTCCATATCAAGACCATCAAGGAGCTCTGCTTTGGTCTTGTCCAAGTCCTTCCGTGCTGTCGCAACGACCGGCGCATTTGTGGTTTGCAAGACCCTTCTCGCGAGCGCAAATCCAATGCCTCGCGAGGCTGGTGATATCAGCGACCATGGTGGCATTGTTGTACGTGTAATGAGTAGACAACAGAGAAGGCCATGACAAGAATATTGTTTGGCTGTTAGTAAGGCTTCTGAAAGGTGGTCCACACACGATCTATGATGCCATACTTGACTTGTCGATCGGCTAGCCTGATTAGGGTAGTAAGCTAGTGCAGGTAATAGCCCTCAGCTACCGATGCGATATGATCATCACAACAACACTTCCAGCTCGTGGAAGTCTTTGCTTTCTAAAAAAACAATCCGATGGTAATCTCTACTTGGAGTATCATCTGTATGAAGACATAAATTTGACATGAGTAGGAAAAGCACGCTACGGAATATACCCTATCTACATTCATACCTCCAATCTTTGCAACAGAGCTCTCAGGACCCAGTTTTCCGTCTTCGTAGCATCCTCAATCCTCTTCACACCTTTGTATATCTCACCTTCTAGCCGCTTCAATGTCTCGCGCGTATATGACATACTACCTGTGCGGTCAAGTTGCTTGAGTACGAGCTTCTTCTGCTCATATGAGAGGTGTCCCGCATCTCTTCTCCGTTGAAGAAGCTCACGCAGTAGGTGAGTAATTTCCGACTGTACGTTCAACGCGTGTATTAGCGGAAAAGAAAACTTGCCCTCGTCCAAATCTTGACAGAACCCCTTCTTCTCGGCATAGTCTTTGGAGCAAAGATTTTGGTAGTCGTCACGAATCTGGTACTGTATCCCGATAAGGCTTACAAGATCTTCAACATCAGAGATTAGGTGCTTATTGGACTCTTTGCTCGTCGAACAAGTCAGAAGGAGTCGCGTGAGGAGTAGAAACAACCCTCCTGTCTTCTTCTTGACCATTTCCAGGTACTCGTTGTCTGACGGGCACAAGTTGTTCTGTGTCCAGTAAAGGTCATACGATTGTCCGACATGCAATTCGTCAAGCCCTTCGAGGACTATCTCGATAGCATCGGGGCCCAGCTGCGGAGCTTCTTCCACCGCTCTTACCAACTCGTAGCATCCTGAGTTGATAGTCTGTGCAGCACCAAAAACAGCATGCACTGCTGGCTCACCTCTCCGAAGATTGGACCCGTCTTCGACGTCATCGAGTATGAGGGATGCGGAGTGGAGGCGATTTCCTATTGATTTGACGCGCGATACGGCCAGTGGAGGTACATTGAGCCATATAGCCAATGCATTTATAAAGACATCTCGTGCACCTCCAGAGGGTAGTGACTTGATGTATTCAACTGGCGCTCTGGCATGCCTGGAGTCCAAGGACACACTCTTTGGGGAACGAATAACCACCGTCTTCTCGATTTCAGAGCTTGAGGAAGCCGAATCAAGTGATGAGCGCGAGTCACTACTGTCTGATATCGATCCGGTTTCATCAGAGGTAGTAAGACAAGTCTCAGCCGAAGACTTCCGTGAATTGACAATCCTCAGATGAGGATTTATGACGCTCGGTTGATCTGGGTACTCTTCGGCCTTGTGGATAAATCGAGCTTCATAATTAATACCCAGGGCTTCGGGCATTGATTTTGCTGTCAGTTCATCTTCCAGACCGGCGTTTGGATCGTATCTGGCTTCAGGATGGTATCGAGGGCTGTTCAAACTCCAAACCACATTCCCACTAATCTGGTACTCCAAGGCGTACAGATGTCTGCTCAACTTCTGCGACATGTTCTCATTTTCTCGTCTGTAACGCGTGCAGTTCTCCAGAAATATATCTTCGTTCTGCCGTGTTACGCCCAGTATCACACTTTTCGCGACATCCACGTTCACGTCGTTCCACTGCATATACAACCAGACGGCGTTTGATAATGTTCCCACTTGCCCTGAATCTGAGAACTCGAGGTATTCCCGGTCGAAAGAAAGGTAGTCGTTGGCTAGTGCTAGTGCTATGAAGCCTGGTTTGCGGATGGGTTCGAGTTGGGCGTCCTCTTCCTCGGTAAGTGTCACACCCATGCCAAAGAGTAACAATGCCTCTATCACGCTATCGTTATATCAGTATGTATTTGAAAAAATAGCTGAAAGGAGGTGAATATACTCACGACGTTCCGGCATCAATGAGTCGGAAATCCAAGTACTCATCCAAGGAGCCAAATCGTTTTCCCTTTTCACGCAGAATGATAGCAATGGCTTCTTTGAATGTCCTCTTGAATCTTCCCGCGCATGCTTGGTCTACTGATGTGATTTCCTTCATAATCTTTGCCTGTATCTGAGCTCTTCCTAGCGTCGGATTTGTACCCTTCCACTCTTGTTGCTCGGGATGATCAAAGTGATCGTGTTGACCGTCCTGCGGATCAAAAATTCCAAACCAGTATATCGGAAGTTATGAAAAGATTTGCAGGCTATAACATACCATACCTGGCTGCTCAAGTTCTATGACGCTGTCATGCAGGAATATATCTATGGAATAGTTAGCGAACTGACATTGAAAAGAGAATATCGCAATGTTGTGATGCCATGCACGGAGAGGTGGGCGACATACATTCAAGCATGTAAGCAACTAGTCTCATACGCTCAGGCTTTGTGAGTGGTAAAGCTAGGGCTGAAAAGTTGCCATTGATAGGGTTGCATCCCCCAAACTGCTCGGTAGGCCCGACATACTTGGCCCAATCCAATCTTGCTTCATGGGATCCTGCATTGGCCTCGGCCTCCCAGTTATGTCTTCGCAAAGTGTAGTTCATGCAAAGGCCATCTGTATCATATTTTGAGAGTGGCACGGTGAAGGAAACCGCATCGTCTAGTTGTTGGCTCGAGATATGAGTTGACATTTTGTAAAGAAGGGGGATGGAGAGCGTGATCTGTAAGGCAACTCAGACATTCAAATGGTTTCAAATAGTCTTATCGGCTGTGAATATGACATAGCGGCCTAAAGTGACTACTGTACCCCTGCCCACTTGCCATATCTCCTTGGGTTGCCTAACAACCTTGCGAAGGACGGTGCGTGTAAAGTTTCGATCTCTCCCTTCCAAAGCAACACCCAAAATAGATCAGTGAGAATACTAATAACATGTACACTGCAATTTGGAACCAGCACTGTAGGTATATACGTATACCAAGCCTCATGTAAATACAAGCCCGTGTTTGTTTTTCTGTTGATAAAAGCCAGGTGCTGGGCATTCAGCGTGATCTGCTACTATCATTGTCTACGCGCAAACCCTCAAGGACACTCCGAAACAACTACAATGTGCACTGGAGAATTTGCGGACTATTTGCATCTGAAACACTCTACTAATACAACATGTACCAGAAGCTCGTGTACCAAAACTCAGTGGCGTACACCATTTCAGCCAGCCTCTTTAGTAGTCTCACCGGAGGGCGTTCCGTCGTCTCGCTTAGAAAACGAGAAGAACAAATGGCATTCAAGCTTGAAGGTGTACTAAATACAGCCTAGCAGTGCTTTGCGCGTCTTTCGAGCCTAAAGACAACTAGTCTTGGCTGTGATTCGATCCAGCATTAAACATAGCAGCGGAAGAAGGCTGAAGTAACAGACCGGTGGAGCAGCACACGCACGCTCCGAGATACAGCATGCAGTCTATAGCACAGTGCCTGCGAGATAACAATGAGTTTGACCAACGATTTTCGAGGTCAAATTTGCTCTAGACATTATGAAGCCATCATACCAAAAGTTAACAAGCCACAGGCAAACGAGTTAAGTCCAAATGGATGAAAGTGTAAGATGGGTCATCCATGCTGGAAATTGAGCAAAACGTATGTTCAATGTAGTTGCAAATAAAAATCGCGCACAGAAATATAATCGACTCCTATCTTTCTGGCTTTGCATTCTCAGGGAGTGTAGATGTCTGTGGAAATAATGAATGATAATGTCGCTTCATCAAAATGAAGAGTGTTGCATGTACTGACGCAGCCGAATTTCCAACCAGACATACAAAAATACCTCATAAATGTAAATCTAGAGTCAGGTTGGCTTATAAAAATGTCACTCGATGAAGCTGATGATCAATGCGCTGGCAACGACATTGCTCCCTGGCAGGCGCTACACTGCTGGATCGACGCAGAACACGGGAAGCATAAGCTTCTTTGCTTTTTGGAACATTGAAAGGAAATATAGGCGCTAAAAAAATGAGAAAGTGGATGCATCGAAACTAAGCAGGAGAATTTTGCGATGTGCCAACTATAACTAGTATCCGTACACATTCAATCGCATCTTGGGAAGATGACCCAACTAGCACCGCCACCAACACTACCATTACGTCGAGAAAACTGCACTTGAACATCATCTGACAGCCAAAAACCCTCTTTCTCTTTTCTCTCCAATCGAAAATTGGTCAGCAAATCTCACTACCGTCCTCGCAAAGCCTATTGGCCATATCACTGCTGATTCGGAAAACGCTCGCAAAGCAACTTTTGTATTATGTATAGGTTATATCCACTTACCAATATACGTAGTACAAAACAACCAGCCAAAGTCACAGAACCAAGTGTTTTACAAAGTAAGCCCAACAGCAACAGACGGGACGGGGGCTGTGCAAGACGTCAGCGCGAACAAGAGAAAACATGTCAGCCTGGGCGGTCATGTTGAAGGACGAAAATTTCGTCCAACCATCATCACCAAGGGCAACAGTGACATAGAAGTTTCCGCCACGCTGGTCGCCTGGAGAAATCATGAAAGCAACATATAAAGAGAGAGAGAGAGAAAAAGAACAAAGAACCAATTCCTCATTCTACTTGCCAAACACCCAAAGCAACACTCTTCAAATCCCCTCTTCAAGACCCACGTATTTCTCCAAGTGAAAGACAAACTCATAACCCTCAAAATGCACCTCCCAACCCCCATCTCCACCCTCCTCCTCCTCGCCACCTCAACCCTAGCCTACGACTCCATCTCCTTCACCACCTGGAACTGCACAGACTGCAGCCCCGTCCCAGGCACCTTCTGCTCCGTCAACACGCGCAGCCAGCTGCCTCCCAACCTGTGCATCCCAATGTGGAACGGAAGCACGTACATTCGGACTTTTGACGCGACGATTCCGTCATGCCAAGGTACGTTCTATCCTTGTATTACGAGTGAGATTTTGGAAAAGGAAGCAAGGATGCTAATGAGGACGGAACAGTGAATCTTTACTTGGAAGATGATTGCACGGGCGCGGCGGAAGTGCATAGGGAGAATGGCGGGAGGTGCGAGACCAAGGGGCCGACGAATTCTTTCCAGATTACTTGCTAGATGGGCATATATCCCTTGTTTCTTGGCGGAAGAGGCTTAATGGGGGGGGGGTGGGCAAAGTTGAATACATGTAACAACGATGGTACTTGTGTGCGAAAACACCGATTCAAGGAGCGAGAAGAGAACCGCTGGATTGCTAGTTCAACACGTAGCATTCATAAAACCACTCTCGCTACTTGATAAATACTTCTATACTAAAATTTAATAAACGAGGGCGTCTCTAATCCATCTCTTCCCCTCCCATATATACAATCTCATGCCAATCCCAACCTATGCATTAGCCGTCTTATCATTATAATAATGAATTGTCTGATCTGCACACCCACTCGGCGTCTGATACAAGTAATTGCCCAGGTTAATATACAACTTCTGGCCTGTACATACGTACCACGCGCTCTTGTTCGGCCGTGTGACATCCGTGCTAGTCCACTGCAAGTCGTCGCCGCCCCATGCAAACGTGCCGTACGTGTTCTTGGTCTCGGAAAAGGTGACGGCGAGGGACATGTTGTTGATGACACGCTCGGGGGACACGTTGGCATAGAGGAGTTTGACGGGGGCGCCGGGTGCAGATATGAGCTGCACGAGTTGGCCGGAGACGACTTGGAGTTGGCCGGCGGTGGTGTGGTCGCCGAGGAGGGCGAGGCCAGTGGAGTAGAGCGGGTTGGTTTGGATGTACTTGTGGAAGTTGGGAGCGGCGACGGCGCGGATCCAGTAGTAGCCCGCCTGGAGGGTTGTGCCGGGTCCGGTTCCGCCTGGCACGCTGCTGGCGGCTGGTTCGCTTGGAGTTGAGTTGCTTGGAGCTGATGGGGTCGGTGTCGGTGTCGGTGTGGGACTGGGTGCTGGTGCTGCTCCGGGTTGACATTGGGAGTAGTATTCACTGGACATGGTTAGGAATGGCTAGCATATCTTTTTGTAAATCGATGTACTTTATCTTGACACATCCTAAACCAGAATTGCATGTTGTTTGACCACTCCAACCAATGCCACCGCCTGCGCTGAAGTTAGCCCATATACCAGAATGAATGTAAATAACGTACATTGCTGCCAGTCGCCGACAGCGGCAGACGTGGTGCCGGCTAGTAAAGCCAGAAAAGCGGTAGTTGTGTAATGCATCCTAAGCCCTTCAATCACAGGTCAATAGTAATCTAGAGAAACACAAGATATTCCTTGTCCGACACCCGTGAACCATATTGTAGGAACCAACCATGATATTTATACTACAGCACGTTTCATCTGGCTCAAACAAGCACCATGTGATGCCAACTAACAGCGTCCGTACCCTTTAAACATCGGACCGTGGTCGCCGCGTAAAGTGGATAAAGTACCCCCCATGCCCGCAAGACAAGGCCGGAAGCCGAGAAAAATACTGGGTCAGCAATATGCTTGCGCAGGCTTAAATTGCTTGATTAAAAACAATCAAACTTTACTGGCGCATCTTCCGGATCTGGCAATGGCGGATGATGCAGAGTAGAACCTAAGCTAATTTTCCAAAACCGGCTACAATTTAGGTGATTCAAGTTAGCATCCTGTAATCGTATCTGGATGTCACCGAAATTGGAGTGCAGCCTTGGGACCAGGTGCGCGGGTACGGGCGACTACCATCGAGCAGGCCTCTGGTACCGGTCCCGAGAGATGGGCAAGTTTCTCTGACATGGCCGTCAAATCTAGCGCTTCCGTCCGATCAATGCCGCCCCCACGCGATATGCGCATTCGACGTCGATGTAGTTTTCGTCCTGTCGCGTTGCACTTTGGATGTTCGGTGGCATCTACAGCCACCCACAAAACCCAACAACCCGCACTGCAGAACCTCATCATGACACCTCAGTAACCCCAGTAATCGGCTCTGGCCTCGCAGAAAAAACAACCTTATATCTCACCACCTCCACAATCTCCAGCTCCTCCTCTTTCACCCCTTCACCCTCACCCGCCATACCCCCCATATCCACATCTTCTTCACCATCTTCGCTGACCTTCTTACGCAACACAGCAATCGGATTCGCCAACTTTTTACATTCGCCCGTCATACGTTGGCCCTTGCCAATGTACATGTACACGCGCTTCATCCATTTGGTGTCACTCGGGTCATTGATGTCTAGGTTGTAGTGGGGAAACACGAGTTTGCCGATTTGAGTGGACGGCTGGGAGGAGTCTGTAGGTGCTGGGAAGTGGACTGTGCCTTGGATTTCGAGGAGGGCTAGGCCGGAGGGTGTGTGGAGGATATGGGGGAGAGGGTTTTCGGTGGGAGCTGGTGTTGGCGGGGAAGGGGCGATTCGTATGGGTATCGACGGCATTATGGTGTATTTGTGTAGTAAGTAGATTTGACGGTTCGTGTGAATTGGTTGTGTTTGTGATGCAGTGATGGGAGAAACCTTGGCGATACTTTGCGGACGCGACGCGCCAAAGCTTTGGTGGGGCAGATGTGTGGTGGGGTTTGGTGACTTCACTATACACCCTCTCAGTTACTTTGCCCTGCCTTGCCGCTATATTGAGTATGCTCAAACAAGACGCTAAAAAAGAATATTATTCGGGAATAGTCGAAATAAACAGTATCTATCCAAATAGAAAAATCACAGAAATTTTCTTTCACTTTATTACTAGCATGTCTATTGTCATACATATCACTTACCATCTTCATCAGCAACCTATGCTATCATGTCAATCCTCCTTTGGAAACCCACCGGGAAATTTACATTGAACACATCACCAAGATTACAATAAAAACCACAACACCAAAGCGATGCCTACATTCCCCCAGTCCCACCTCCCACCTCCACACCGTCCATGTGTTGAACATGAAACAAAGCGCAAAGCCAGAAGACTAGAGACCAGACTACATAGCATCTATATTAAGCCCCCCCCCAACGTAGTAAAGACCGTTCCCTCTAATTTCCTTTCTTGCCCCCCACAATTGCTGTTGCCAGCCTCCCATCTACACCATCTAGGTAACTAGGTGTTCTAAAGGTAAAGAGTTGCTTAAAAGCAAACAGCCTTGTACGAGAACTTTGTGGAAACGTCAACGCAGCCGCTGGGAACGGTGGTGATGATGTCAGTTGGGGTGCCGGAGCAGTCGCCTGCGGTGAAGAACTGGACTATTGTTTGCCAATTGTGTCAGCTCTCATTTTCTCCTTACATCACCTTGCCTATCCCCCTCCCCCAGAAAAGGGGGAAGGAAAAGGGAGAAGGGGGATACATACGCTGGCAGTTCGCCCTGGTCTTTTCCAAGAAGAAGACCTTTGCGCTCTGCAGAGGCAAAAAGTTGCATACGTTGCTGTTGATGTTTTGCTGCTGATCGGCTTGGGGCTGGCAGCCTGGGCCGGCGTAGGCCTCGACTATTTCGTAGTGTCAGTACACTTGCTTCAATCCTTCAAAACCCCCCTCAAGGATATTAGAAAGAAGGGGGAGAGAGGGGAACGAACAAGACGCAACATTCTCCAACTGAATCTGCGCAGAGGCAGACGAAGCCATAAGGGCGAGAGCAGCAATGGTGGTGGTGAAGAGCATCTTTGCGGTTTGGAGTTTGAATCGAAATTGATTGAGTGATTAAAGTGTTTGGAATGAGATTTGCGTCTGTAGTGCTTCCATCTTCTCCCTCGTTCTCTCTCTCCCTTTTATATCCCAACCTCTACACCCAAAAACATCCCAATTCGCCTTCCCTCAGCTTGTTTGCCTCGAGATCACCGTCACCCTCGGCCATCGGCCTGTCAACAGACACTCCCAACAGTGGCATCCAGGCGGTGAATAGCAACACGGACTCCCCACATTTCTCATCACAGCAGCAAAAAAATCTGATGGGCTTGCAAAATTCGGTTGGTCACATCTCCAACGAGCCATTGTCGGTTCGTCGCGGAATAGCACTCGTGTTGGTTTGGTGCGTGGGGAAGTCGTTCTTTGCGAATCGCCCGACGGGCTTGTGGCTTTGAACTTGTAAGCGGAGCCTTTAACCAACCAGGTTACTGAGAGAAGCGTCCTGGAATGTGCTGGTATAAGCTTATGACGACGTGGAGAATGGTTCATGGATGCGAGCGTCGTTAGTGTTGGTCACAAGCGGTGAGGCCGACCACCCGGTCCGTGGTTGCTATACTCCGGCCTGCAGGTGAAAGTTGCCGAATAAGGAGAGTGGGGGGACGCCATGCTTGCTGAGAGGCGCTTCCCGTAAGCCAAGTCCTCAGTTGCGATGACTACGTGGTGGGATCCGTGGCATGCGGGGGCGTGAGTGAATTGATGGGAATCTTGCCTTGTAGGTGCTTGTCATGGATGGGTGGCTGATAAGATGAGTCTCGTGGATACTTAGCGTTATAGTAACTCATAGTCGTGACCTACCGAAGATGCAACCTGATATGACAGAGGTCCTGTTTGAGCACCGAGAAACACGGACGTATAGTTCTCGCGCGGAGTCTACCCGCATTTACTGACCAGTGTGTAATACGCTGCAGCCTAGTAAGAAATCGTGCATACATGACATGCCACGTTGGGGTAGTATCTGACACAGGGCGTACTGGCATGCACCAATGAGACGGGAACACCCGGCTGACGGATCTGGCTTAAAGGCTAATGCAAAAGATTGTTGGATTATATCCTGAAGGGAGAGAATATGAGCAGATGCTCACACTCGATCTCACCTAGATTTAACGTAAGAGGCCTTGCACCCACATTCCTTTCTAGTCTTTCCCAACCCCGTAGTCATCTCAGTCGTAACTTTTCAGTAATGTGTCATGTCGCGTAAAACAAACAGCCGCCCTGATAGTCAGTGGCCCACTGATAACCACAAAGATATTTACCCCTGTGCCTGCATCATTTAGTTGAAGTCATTCATGTTGTGTAGGCTGATATCTTGACTGCTGGTAACGCGCCGCTCTTCGCCGTTGCTGTTGGTCAAGCCGTCAGGCCTAGAATCATTGTTGCCATTGACCGGCTGCCCATCGGATGATTCAGCGCCACCTTCTGCCGGGATGACATTTCCATGTTGGTCAACTTCCTGTAATACTCGTTAGTCACACGCATTGCTTTGGGTTAGGAGTTGAGTTGGGACTTACGACACCCTTAGCGGCCATGCGCACCTGCTGCGGATTTGCTGTGCCGTGAACAACCGCCTCACGTGCTTTCTCCATGACCTTTTGTTTTCGGCTCTCTCCTCGCACCTTTTCGAGATGCTCAAAGTAGCCATCGTCCACAGGTGTGACGTACTTGCCACAGAAAACGCCCACCTCGAACTTTTGGGTCGCGGGATCGCGTGGCGAAAGGCGCGCGCATGCACTTTCCAAATCCTCAAGCTTTTGGTAAACGACATCGTCAGCGCCAATGTGCTTAGCAATAGCTGCTGAGTCACGGTGATGGGCAATAAGCTCCGAGGACGAGGCCAAATCGATACCGTAGATGTGAGCGTTGGTGATGGGCGGTGCACATGACGTGAAGTATACCTTCTTCGCTCCAGCTTCGCGCGCCATCAATACAATCTCACGCGACGTTGTGCCGCGGACAATCGAGTCATCGACAAGCAAGACATTCTTGCCGTCAAACTTCTTCTTCATTGGGTTGAGTTTCGCCCGGACACCCTTTTGTCGTAGTTTTTGCGATGGCATGATGAATGTGCGGAAGATGTAGCGGTTCTTGACAAAGCCTTGTACATACGGCTTCTCAAGGGCTTCAGCGACACAGAGAGCTGACGTGATGGAAGTCTCTGGAATTGGCATTACGACATCAATCTCAGCCATCTTTTCAGGACCCAGCTGCTTCTTGATCGTCTCGGCGAGCGTAAAGCCCATGTTGCGTCGACTCTCATCCACATCGATACCATCAATGACTGAGTCTGGTCGAGCAAAATAAACGTATTCGAAGATATCCGGGGTATACGCTTCTTGCTTAGCAACCTGTCGGAAGACCGGCTCCTTGCCCTTCTCGATGATGACAGCCTGGCCGGGCAGAATGTCCTTAAAGTCCTTGTAGCCACACTGGACTAGTGCGACACTTTCAGAGGCCATCATGTAGTCCATACCGTGGCCATCTTGCGAGCGCCGGGATCCAAGGACCATGGGGCGAATACCGTAGGGGTCACGGAACCCAATAAGACCGAATCCTAGAAATAATCAGCATGTTTCATGTGCTTACTTCGAATTTCGTCTACATACCAGCAAGCATGGCTGTACATGCCCATCCGCCAGTGCAGAGCTTGTACATCCTCTCAAGCGCAGCAAAGCAGTCATCAGCGTTGATACGTGCTTTGCCAGTCTCGTTGAGCTCATCGGCGAAGATGTTCAGCATAAGCTCACTGTCGCTCTCTGTGTTGATGTGCCTGTGGGCCTCGTGATCGAGTCGCTGGCGCAGCGCGGGGGCGTTGATGAGATTACCATTGTGGGTCATGCAGATACCATACGGGCTGTTGACGTAAAAGGGCTGAGCCTCAGAGTTCGCGCTGCTGCCAGCTGTGGGGTATCGCAAATGGCCGAGACCCATGAAGCCGGGGAGATCGGAAACACGAGCACCATCCTGGAAGACCTTGGAGGCCATGCCATTGCCCTTGCACTGGTGAAAACGACCACCAGCGCTGCAGCTGACTATACCAGCAGCGTCTTGTCCGCGGTGCTGGAGGAGGTAGAGGGCATCGTGAACCTCTACCGAGGCGGATTGCGACTTGGGGTCGCCGTGGATAACGGCAATGATACCACACATTTTGACGTGGTGTTGAGTCTAGGGATGTTCGAGGTATGTACCTGTAGTTTTATACTAGGACGCATCAGTTGCGCTGTTCTTCGGATAAAGCGGAAGAAAAAGTGAAGGCGGGGTTTGTCTCTCAGCAAGTCCTTGTGCGCTCATGGGTGATCGCAAGTCTAACATCTTTTATAATAATGACGAGATCATCATAGTGACAGGTATGGGATGGAGGAAATATTGCAACTACGTACTCTGGATATCCTCGTACACGGCTGTGCAGAAACTCGGTTCGCAAGTGACCTCTTCAAAAGTGGGATATAATAGTATGGATGGGCTCCCGTCGAGAAAACGCGTCTCACGAGGTCACTATGTACAGAAAGATCGTAGGACTCTGGCAGCTGGATGATCAATGGGGCCGTTTTCGTCGTCTGCGAGGTATCGTCGCGGGTCTCTGGTCCCGTTTGGTGCTGATGATGGCGTGCGAGCTCATGGTTATTGGAAAGTAAGAGCGCTCTAGTGGGGAAAGGACAGCATGATAAACAATTTTTTCTCGCTCGCCGCACTTGCACTTCCGCACTTTCGGCCTTGGCGGCAACCACACGCCCAGAACCCCACACTGCGACTGAACTGCACCACGACGTACAAGACTGCGGAGAGACAGTACGTACCGACCGGGGAAACACATGTTACAGCGTATGGCCACATCTTGCGCCAACTTTACTCCGTTTCTATTATTTCCCTTCTTTTGTTTGACGGTAGCCTTCGGAAAAAGATTTTTTAGGACATAGACTGCCGCGTCCAGTCATTTGAGCCACGAACGGTTTAGGGCCTGTTCGGTTGCGCGGTTGCGGTTTGCGGTTTTCGTTTTTATTACTGGATTTAGGCTAGATCTTGAAAACAATCCCGTGTTCGGTTAAGCAAATCCAGTAATAAAAACGAAAACCGCAAACCGCAACCGCGCAACCGAACAGGCCCTTAACATGGCTTTCCGCGGCGGACCAAGTACATGAAGCACGTGACGTTTTACATGAAGGGTGTTCGCAACCCTGCCACATCTATGTGCATCATGTCTTTGAGTGGACACAGGGGCATGTTCGAGAGCACCTCAAGTTCAACGCTTAGAACACGTAAAGCAGGCACAAAGAATACATAGAAGAGCCGGTCTAATGCGTTGCGTTCGGATCAAACAATGATTCTTGGAATGTCGAGGAAAGTCCGCTCGGATGCGATGATGACACGGATAGAAGAGGCTTTCCGAGAACAATGAATTTTGTTTAAATTATAATAGCGACTATACTAAGCCGCTGATTTTTCAGAGGCGTCGGGCCTGTCAGGCTCGTAATTTGTCTCGCCCAGTGACTGTGATGGCCCAGACACCGAGACAGCAGCTGGCGCGGAAGCACTTGGCCCCCGGGATGCTGCAGCGTTCAGCCTCTGGTTCAATGCTTCGAGAGCCAATGCTCTCCTCCTCTCTGCCTCGGCACGTGTTGCCCCGCCGCGGCCGCCGCGGCTGTTGGGGTTCATAATGCTGGGGAGGCCACCTTCGGCACGAGCAGTGGCCTGTTCGTTGCCCGCATCAATGTCCCGATCAGAAAATGGTGTGCAGACCTGGAGAGACACCAATGTGTTGTAGACGCCGTCTGCGAAAGCACCAAGGGGTGTTTGTATCGGCTCTGGGAAGAAATGTGCAAAGCTAAAGGTGTCGGAGGCATCTCCACGAATGAAGGAGCCTTCGCCCGTGGCAGTAGAAGAGAGCGATGGACTGATGCGATAGAAGCGGAGATAGATCCAGGCCGTCATGAAGCCAAAATATGCGAGGTACATGGCCGTCTCTGTGCCGATGATTATGCCAGAGAGGGTGTTTGTAAGCAGGAAGATGGCTGGGAAGTGCTTGACGCGCATGCGGATGAGGCCTTTGGCAATGGCTACTGTGTGTTCGGGAACGAGCTGCTTGAAAGAAACAAGGAAGCCGGCTTGGATGGCAATGCCGCCAGAGATTGTGGTTTTCCTGGGCCGGGTCAGTGCAAGGTCTGTGGAGAAGACGAGATGAAAGCATACATGAGAAAGTCCTTGCGCATAAGGAGATAACCAAGGACATAGAGCAGGTAGGTCAGGAGGTTCGGTATGACGGCGACAAACAGCATGAATTTGGTGAACTCATGCGACCCCCAGGCCCTCTCGAGGTAGCGACCGCCATACAAGACAGTCAGGCCAGTGGTGATGAGGCCGAGGAGGTTTTGCTCGACAACAGTTGCAAGGGCGAATGTCCAGGGATACCACGGCACAGAGAGGCGGGGCACAATGGTCAGCCATGGCACTCCGTTACCCACGCCGATGATGGGCTTCTCGACCTTTTCCACCCAATTGGCGTTGGGACGCAGGCCAAAGTTGAGCAGGGTGAGCAGGACGAGGGCAGCGAGGATGCCACGGGTAAGGGGCGGGAGATTGATGCGGGCCATGGCGGCGGCAGCAGCTGCAGCGGCGGCGGCGCGTTGTCGAGGGGGAGCAGTGTGGGCGTGGTGGTGAGGATGTGAGGGTGTGGCGGTGGTGGTGGTCACAGTCAAGCTGGGCGGTGCTGCAGCGCCGGGCAGGGATGCGCGGCTGTGTGGGGGGACTGGATGGGGACTAGCCAGGCTCCGGCCGAACATGTGCGTTGCCCTACAAGACTAGCAGTCCATAGGCGACATGGCAGGCATTGTCAATCATCGAAGCTCCTCACATTCCAAACCGCCTGCCACCACCACCAACACTTTGGTCTCCCTCCCCCCTCCCCCACGCCCCCCAGCCAAGGCGCATGCAGCGCTCGCATAATGCGCCATGGCGGAGACTCTCAGTAGCAACGCGATCAACTATCTCGGTACCTATTCCCCGCCAAAACCCGCCCCAGTGGCCTGTCTCTCTGACGCGTGGTCTAGTATGGCGATATCTTCAAGAAGCCGGGTTTGGTAATGCCGCCCTCCACCTGTCGCGATGCTGGCTTCGGGACCCGGACACGCTTCCATTTGCTGCCAACATCGAGCCCCACGCCCTCGTCCGCCTCGTCCAGGATGGCTTGTGCTTCGACCAGCTGCGCGCAGAGGCCTGCAACGTACGTCGCCTCTGCTCTGCTCCGTTCCATCAAATGCGCCTGGGCTAACTATACCAGACGGAACCGCGATACAGGTTCGGCTCCGACCATGGCCGCCCCTACACGCGCAACGGCAGCCTGCTGACCCTCGACAAGGGCATTCCCGCCCACGAACTCGCGACCGAGGCCAACGGCGCCGTCCAGGAGCCCCCGCCCAAGAAGACGCTCAAGCGCAAAAAGGCAAAGCCCACCAATGGCGTCGATACGCGCCCAGAGCCCCAGCCCAACGGCGATGCCATGGACATTGAGCACAACGGCGCGCCCCATCACGTCCCAAACAGCCTGAGGGCAGACTCCGAGCCCGTCGTTTCCGAGGCCGAGTCGCTTACTGTCGCAGAGATACCGCTGTCTACGCTCAGCATCGGCCAGGACGCCGAGATTCAGACAGACGCCATCGCCGTTGCAGATCTGACTCCCGGCACCGTCTTTGTCCCCCGCGACGCCAACCCTGACAAACTTGTCCAGCACACACTATGGGGCCCACTCGAGTCGCCTGTCTTACTTGCTGCCGGAAAGTCGCTCCTCCAGGTCCACGTTGTCAGCAAGCCTGCCAGTAACGAGCAGTCCCCGCCTATTCACACCCTCGACATGTCTCTGCCAGTCCAAAATTTTGACGTGACTGCACTGTGCTGGCATTCGGAGCACGAGCTGACCGTTTCTGCGCGCGAGCAGTGTGTCAATGAGGTGGGCGAGAAGATGATGATGGATAAGCTCATCAAGCTGACCGAAGGCGGCACCACCTCCAACGTCATCTCCTCGACCGCTGGTCTCATTAATACGCTTCGCTGGAACCCCAAGTGCAAGCTTCTGTTGTCCATTTCCACAGACGGAGAAAAAGGATCCATCAAAGTGTGGAAGAATGACAGCGATTCCATCCCAGCGTGGACCGAGTTCACCGACACAGCTATTCTGGATGCTCAGTGGATTAGCGATTCAGCCTTTGTCGTTTGCGGTATCAAGCTGTTCAAGATCTACGAGGTCACCGACGCTCTGACGACCCAGCGAACATTGGACACTCACATACAGTGGGAATCCGTTAAGCACGACCCAGCGTCTGGTATCATAGCCGTACTCGGAATCGAGGACCAGAAGAATTACCTGGGTATCCTTCACCCCAATGACTCGATCCAGCTGCAGACCCACGAATACCCAGACGAATACGCCACCGACCTTGCATTCCGCCCGAGTCCCTCCACCAAGCAACCGACCAATGGTTCCGCTGTACCCTCGGTGTTGCTTGCAACAAGCTCCATGTCTGGCGCAGCACGGATATGGGATGCAAACGAGCCATTTAAATGCATCAAATCGCTTCCTACCACAGATGGTACCCAGGCCTTCAAGATTGCCTTCTCACCAGATGGGGTGTTGTTGGCTGCAGCAGGCCCCGATGCCGTCACTGTATGGGATGCAGAAAAAAGGGACGTCCCAGTAGCAACATGGCGGGCTAGTGAATGGCCAAGCGACAAATGGAACCCTGGAATAGATGGTGAGTTTAGTCTCGGCTGGGACCCAGACAGCTCCCGGCTGTCAATCGCTCTTGGAAACCAGGTATGTTAGGCCTCCCGAACTTGATTGTGCTTACGCACTAATGTCATCTTTACAGATTGCAATCATCACAGTACCTAGATAGTGTCACCTACCGATGCACGAATAGCACCAACTGCATCCCCCACGGTGCACAAACTTTAGTCTGTGGGGAAATTATCTCCGCATTGTCGCAGAGTATCGGCGCCATTGAGCGTAGAAGAATCCGAACCATTTACCGGGCTTGCTACGGAGACATCACTCCGTGGTCGCAAAATCACGAGAAGCCCATAGCGGGGCCGTATGTGGAGTTGTGGAGTCAAGGCAAGGAATAGAGGGGGTGGCGCCTCTGCCGGCCGCCGAGGCCTTCGTATCGTGATAGGCTGAACGTGGCAGCCTAGTCAATCTACCGCATCTGGTACCGGATACTAACTTGGATCCACTCTTGACGTCCTCGCATAACGTTGGGGGTCCATTGCTTCGGCACTTGTATGAGGCAGTGAGCCGCGGCGCCACAGACATGAGAACTGCAGTCCGCCACCCAAAAAGCGCTATCGTTTCCGTCTTTCTTTCATCCATCTTTCATGCGATCCATGTCTTCGATATACCTTCTAATTGTATACTATACCATCTCATAGCACCCATCTTGAAGAATAGAGTTTTGGACACGGGTCGCATGACCATCTCTGACGGCACCTTACCTTCCATCTACATTTGACTCTCTCGAGGTTATCCATACAATGTCAGCGATACCAAATCTGCCTATAGATGAGTTACCGAAGGTGCAACTCGATGGTCAAGTAAACGGCGCCACTGCACAAACACCTTTCAAGCTCTACGATGCGCCCGTGGAGAACTTGCGTCCACTAAAGGTCATCGTCATTGGTGCGGGTTACTCGGGCATCTATTGCGGAATTCGAATACCTGAGAGATTGAGAAACGTTGAATTGGTGATTTACGAGAAGAATGCTGGGGTTGGGGGAACTTGGTATGAAAACAGGTAAAAAGAAGCCCCCTTCCCTTCTACTACAGCGTCTTATTGGCTCTTGTTGAAGGATGAGACTGGGTCCGACTTAATGCCCAGGGCAAGCATTTGCTCACTAACGCGAACGCAGATACCTGGGCTGCGCGTGCGATATACCTTGTGAGTCTCGCCACCTCTGACATCAAGCCCACTGGCGTGATGCTGATCTTCCCGCTAGCACACTCATACCAGTATTCTTTCCAACCAAACCCAAATTGGTCATCCTTGTACGCGCCAGCGGCAGAGATTCAATCCTATCTCCAAGATGTAGCTCAAAAATATTCTGCGGATCGCTTCATCAAGTTGCGCCATCAGGTCGAGGGTTGCCACTGGGATGACAAGACGGCAAAATGGAACGTCACAGTAAAGAACCTGGCGACAGAAGAGACCATTCATGACCAGGCAGATGTGGTGATTTCTGCAAGGGGCAACTTGAATACCCCATCCTGGCCGGATGTTGATGGTCTAAAGACTTTCAAAGGCGAAGTCATGCACTCCGCGGCTTGGAAAGAAGAGTGAGACATACCTTGGACTGCAAATAGACTACCAGTCGACTAATATAGCGAAACAGTTATGAATTCGAAAACAAGCGGGTTGGAGTAATCGGCTCAGGCTCATCTTCCATCCAGATTGTACCCAGTCTTCAGCGTCTACCAGGCACACACATCAGCACATTCGTGCGCAGTAAGACATGGATCTCCCCACCTTTCGGCCACTCACTCTGGGAAAAGTATGGGTTTCAAGGGACGGCTATTCCTAAGGAGCTTCGTGATCGCTTTGCCAACGATCCGGAATACTATCATGAGTTTAGACTAGCAATCGAAGAAGATGGAAACGGGATTCATCCCTTTACCCAGAAAGGAACACCGCTTCAGACGGGAGCCAAGGAAATGTTCCATCAAAACATGAAGGAGAGGCTGAAGAGCCACCCTGAAATCTTTGAGGCGCTTTTGCCTTCGTTCGCGCCTGGGTGCCGCCGCTTGACCCCTGGCCCGGGGTATCTCGAAGCACTAACGCAGCCAAACGTTGATTTTATCACGTCCCCTATAACTCACATTTCAGAATCGGCCATCCATACTGCCGACGGCAAGGCGCATGAGATTGATGCTCTTGTATGTGCCACTGGCTTTGTATCTTCTGCACCACCCCCATTCCCGCTCACCGGTAGTGGTGGGCTTACCCTGACAGAAAAGTGGAAAGATCGCGCCGTAACATATCTTTCGCATTCAGTCGCTGGATTCCCTAACCTCTTCAGCATGCTTGGCCCTAATTCGGCCATTGGGACCGGTAGCTTGACAATGATGATAGAGACCATGGGCGATTATATCATCAAAGCCATTCGCAAGATTCAGAAAGAGAACATTGCGTCCATGGTTGCCAAAGAGGCACGAGAGAAGGACTTTATCGAGTACGTCGACGCGTACTTTGAGAACACAGTCTTTGTCGACGAGTGCAGGAGTTGGTACAAGAACAAGGGTACAGGGGAGATTGTGGGCCTCTGGCCAGGAAGCACATTACACTGCATCGAGGCGATGCAGAGTCCGCGATGGGAAGACTTTGACTATGTCTATCTGGCCGAGCTTGAGGATCATGACACTGACAACAAGTTGAAAGGCGTAGGCAGAAATTCGAACAGATTGGCCTGGCTAGGCAATGGTATGAGTATCAGGGAACAAAAAGAGCAGGATCTGGCCTGGTACTTGTATCCGGAATTCGTGAACAAGCCTGCTGCGCCGTACCCGGAGAAGAGCAAGATCTATGACATACGTCCATTTTCCTGTTAGACGAGATGGATACTTCTACAGTTGATGTAGTCTGTAGCACGTTCCTGAATCATAAGAAAAACGAATGTGTGTGGTCTGTAATGTGGCCTAGTGGAGCCGAGCTACTCCAGACTCCAGCCGTTCATGTGAAAGGATCCCGTTCCCCAGCTTCCGTTTTTGTGGGGTAGCCGAGGCACCGGTTCACATGCCGCAAGCTGCATGTGCGACACCGACAACAACATCCTCTCCCGAGCACATCAACCTTGTGACCCTTGCTTTTTCCAACAAATCCCTGAGACGCAGGATCCTTCAGTCATCTGCGCAAAGGCGTACTTTGTCCTCGACTTGCCATCCATACAACAGACCACCGTCGCAACCTCCCCGTCTCAAGCGCGTCACTACAGCGTGCGCTCAGGCGACTAACCTTGACCACCACCAATGCCTCCCTCAAGATAGCCATGGCCGTCTTCTCGAAACCCATATCCTCCCATCGCCTCAACAGCGCCTCGGCCAAGGCCATCGTGGCCGACCTCACGCGGCTCTACCTGCAGCACCGAACACGCATATCGCGCGCCGTCTACCTTACCTTGTTCGTAGCTCTCATAAACCGTATTCGGAATGCTATTGCTGAGCAGAAAGCTGCTGCTCTGCGCAGGGCCTCAAAGGGCACAAGCAAGACGTCAGCAGGCGAGGGCGAAGCCTCCGGGAGGAAGAAAGTTGAGCTGAATCGCGAGTTTTTCAAGAACCTGCTTCGGCTGTTACGGATATGTATACCTGGATGGAAGAGCAAGGAATTCAGACTCGTTATCGGGCATAGTGTCTTCTTGGTGCTACGGACGATGATCAGTTTGTATGTTGCCGAGTTAGATGGACGGCTGGTTAGTGCGCTTGTGAGAGGAAAGGGGAGAGAGTTCTTGATGGGTTTGGTATGGTGGATGGCGGTTGCTGTACCGGCGACATTTACGAACAGCATGGTATGGGACACCTGCGCTCTCAGCCAGGATCAGAAATCAGGACATACGATGAGTGCTAACATGGCAAACAGCTGTCATATCACCAGTGCAAACTCTCTCTGCAATACCGGACTCGACTCACAAACTACATCCATTCCAAGTATCTCTCCCAGATGACGTTTTACACGCTGAGCGCTCTGGACGACCGCATCGCAAACGCCGACCAGCTGATTACCGTCGATGTAGCCAAATTCTCAAATTCTCTCGCGGAACTATACTCGAATCTTGCGAAACCCGTTCTTGATATTATCATCTACAACTACTCGCTTTCACGAAGCGTCGGTGGCGAAGGTCTATTTTTCATGTCACTTTTGGTGCAGATATCGGCGAACGTCATGAGGGCACTGACTCCGCCGTTTGGCAAGTACGTGGCAGACGAGGCGAGACTGGAGGGAGAATTTAGATTCCAGCATTCAAGACTAATTGATTGGAGTGAAGAGGTGGCGCTGTACGGAGGACATGAAGCAGAAAAGGACACGCTTGACAAGGGCTATTTTACGCTGATCAAGCATGTGAACCGGATTCTAAGACGGCGATTTTATCATGGTATCATGGAGGACTTTGTCATCAAATATTTCTGGGGCGCTCTGGGCTTGATGCTGTGTAGTGTGCCGGTATTTTTCAAGGTACCTGGGACTGGTGGAATGAGTATGGGAGATCGCACAGAGAGTATGTATACCGTTATCACACACGCGATGTGGAAGATTTTGGAGTTTTGGCTTGCTAACGAGTGCGATGACAGATTTCGTAACAAATCGTCGCATGCTTCTTATGTCCAGCGACGCATTCGGTCGTGTCATGTTTTCATACAAGGAGATCACCGAACTCGCAGGCTACACCTCGCGTGTCTCTACTCTCCTGGACGTCATCGACGACATCCAGGCCGGTCATTTCGAAAAGAAGCTCGTTTCCTCTGCCGATACCGAAGAAAACGCTGCCGTTCTTCGAGGCCGTGGTACTGTAACCGAAGGCGAAGACATCGAGTTCGTCGATGTACCCATCGTTTCTCCCAATGGCGACGTTCTCGTACGTGCACTATCCTTCCACGTAAGGCCCGGCGACCATCTCCTCATTGTCGGACCCAACGGCTGCGGAAAGAGCAGTCTTTTCCGCATCCTAGGCGGCCTGTGGCCCGTCTACGGTGGCAAGGTGCGCAAACCGCCATTCGAAGATATTTTCTACATTCCTCAGCGACCGTATCTCTCTCGTGGTACCCTCCGCCAGCAAATCATCTACCCAGATTCTCTCCACGACATGCATTCCAAGTCTATTACCGACAACCACCTCCTCGCCGTACTCGCCACGCTCAACCTCGAGTCACTGGTTGACCGCCCCGGCGGCTTCGACGCTGAAGCTCAGTGGGAAGATGTACTTTCCGGTGGCTTGCAGCAGCGTGTCGCCATGGCCAGGCTTTTCTACCACAAGCCGCGGTACGCAATCCTAGACGAGTGCACGAGCAGCGTGACGCTCGAGGTAGAGAGAATCATGTATGAAGAAGCCAAGAAACTAGGCATTACCCTCATGACTGTGTCTCACAGGCGCAGTTTGTGGAAGTACCATTGCCGTATCTTGCAGTTTGATGGCCAAGGAGGGTTTTACTTTGGAGGGTTGGATGCTGAGAGGAGGGCTGTGCTTGAGGAGTAAGTTTTTCCCCTTATTTCTTTTCGAGTGATTTGGGATTCGCCTGTTTATGAGATGAGTACTAACGTGTACGTAGTGAGAAGGAAGACATTGATTTGCAGCTCCGAGCTGTCCCGGATATCGAGCAGAGGATTAGGGAGCTGGAGGCCTCATGAAGAGGGAGTAGGGGACTTGCATTTTGGCGGTAGAAGTGAGGAAGCTTGTTGTACGATGATTTGGTAGTGTCTTAGTTATTGCAGATGCATATATGTGAATAGAACAGAATTTTTCTGTGCTCTTATTTATTCGTGTTTTCCTCACTGAGAGAGCTATCAACTATGAATACCTTTCAGGTAGTGATGACGATGTCAATAAATTTCCGGATCTCTCTCTAAGTTCGCTCAACCACGCAAGAAGAAAAAGGCATCAGCAATGGCCCTAGAACTGGCCTACGAAAATCCTTTTATCATTCCCTTTTTTCCTTATATCGAAAGACTCAACCCTTCAACTCTCCAACCCAATCAATTTCCTTCTCATCCTGCCAAAACCCACCCGCCTTCCCCTGTATATCCCCCAACGCCAGCAACACCGGCGTCCGCGCCCCCTCATCCGGCGTCTTCGTCCCATTCCCTTTCGTCATTTCCGTATTCACATAACCCGGGCAACAAGCATTGACCAGCAAGCCCTCCCTCCCACTCTCCTTGACCTGTTTCGCTAGAATCTTCGTTACGCCAATAAGTCCCGCCTTGCTAACCGCGTATCCCGCAGTTGGGAACCCCCGTTCTTTTTCTTTGCCGGCTTCGACGGCGGCGACGAAATCTTGCATGATGGCGGTGATATCGGCTTCGGATTTTGCAGCGAGAAAGCGGTTCCGGACGGGCTCAGAGTACTTGTTGAGTTTGCCGGACATGGAGGCAATGTTGATGAGGCGGCCGGTGGGTTTGAGGAGGGGCAGGAAGGCGTGGCTTGCTTCGAGGGTTTTATAGTAGTTGCAGTTTAGTGTTTTTTTCACGAGGTCGGCGTCTAGAGATTGGGAGTTAGCGAGTGTCGTTTTCATAGGCCGAGGAGAGGCGTGGACGTACTGTAGCCGTCGAGAGCGATACCGGCGTTGTTGATTACAAAGTCGATGCCATCGCTGTGGGTTTGCTTCAGGTGATCTGCAAGTATCTTGATACTGTCGCTGCTTGTGATGTCCAAGAGGTGGAATTTGATCTCTGAGAGTCCGCCATCGGCTTTGAGGGCTTTTGCTTGCTTGAGTTGCGCATCTTGCTCAAGATTCTTCACAGCTGCCTCTCCCCTGCCCTGGTCGCGTGCAGTCAAGTAAATCAAGAAAGGTCCGTTGTTGAGCGGCGACTTGGGATACTGGAGTGCAAGTTGGCGCACAATGGCTAGGCCAATGCCCTGGTAAAGTCAGTACATGTGGTTCGAGGATTCGAGATAGAAAAAGAAATCAGGTACCTTGTTTGCACCGGTGACGACTCCGACCCTGCTGTAAGACATTTTTAGTGCTGTGATTCCGTCACTAGAGAGTTGAATAACGAGAGAAAAAAGAATGCCACGCCTATGTCAAAAGAGGCCTCCCCACTCCAAGCACTATATTAATCATCGCTGGGACCACCAACGCTGTTCGGAGTTAACAAGATGAATACGTCACTAATCATGATGTGGAGACTATGCCCCAATTGCCCCGCGCACTATCCCCTTCAGCGTTAACTTGAATGTCCCATAACCCAGAAGTTCAATATCTCCTACCAGCCTTGATTCTGAGGCCATAAAACCCAACGTTGCATATGTACAAATCAATCAATGCAGGTTGAACATCCGGACCAACCCCCTCCTTCGTTTTGCTTACCAGCACAACCAACACCATGAACAGACCGCAAACCCATCTAGCACAAACACGGCAGATGAATAGTCTGATAATTACTGCATGTCTTCCCACTAGGCGCATCGCTTCCCGTCTGCAGAAACAAATCGTAGTACCCAGCATCCGCGGAGTTGCAGACCAGGAAATTCAGTTCTAGAAAAGAGCACACCTCACGTTAGCAAAAACGACCCTAACACCCAAAAGAAAGGAACCTTTGAAAAGCTTTGCCGTGTAGAGGGAGGAAGGGATTTTACTCACGTCGTCCATAGCTACTTCCTTGCGTCGTAATAATCGTATCACCCTCAAGCCCCCACGCCGTCGTGTCGCCCTTTGCGCCCCAAACCAGTGGCTTGTAACTCGTCGATGCAGTAGCGATGTTGAGAAACTGATTTGTTTTCTTGGATTGAATTGTTCCACCGATAGTAAATTCCTCGGCTGCAGATTCGGGTCCAAGAACGGGTTTTGATGCTGATATCGAACGTTAGTCAATTTCTGTTTCCAATGGATGTGAGGATATGCGTGTGTAGTAGATGGAGGGAAGTGTAGCGACAGAGCGAAGAAGGTACCTACAGTTCTTTGGGCTGGCTTGCAGATAAAGATGATAAATCGGATCGCGCACGCCGCGGATCTTGCCTACCGTCGCTGCAGCAGTAGCGACATTCTCAACAGGCGCGGCGGCAGCGCTTTGTGCGAGGAACAAAAGTGGTGCGAAAAACGTCAACATGGTGATGTGCGGTGTCGAGGGCTCAAACTACAGATAACCCATGATGGTAGAACCACGACTCTAATACTCGTTGTTCCTGGACCTGTAATCAATTTTGGCTTTGGTAGTCTCCCCGATTGCAATATCGCGGATAGATTGCGGTCGCGTCACGCGTGGGTGCATTGACTAGCAGATATTAAATACCCTTGTCGTGAAACTACCGCAAACACCGGGACAAGGAGGGGACGGCACGAAGAAACAAGACTAACAATTAAACTATGGTACTCTCATCCTTCATTTGTAGTCATAATTCCACGTTATATTCAAATATCGGGATAACAGGTACAGCCTAGATGGGACCGGATGTCGTGCAGATGGTAGAAGTATCCAGATGCGTCCTGGTGGAGAACACAAATGACAAGGACATTCTACCGTACAAGCCTGGCCAGAAACCAGGATTTCCCTCACCCACTACCGAAAATACTAGACCCCAACCCCGATACGACTTTGTATAATTGAGAAGGAACAGTCTCAACCGGCCCTCGCTCTGGTGTCATGGCAGTCTCCATCGGCACCACCTCTTCGGGACTGTTCGTAACACCCTTTGGAATTCTAGCTTTCTTCGAAGGCTTCTCGACCGATTTCGATCCCGTACTACCAAATCGATGATACTTGTGTCGGTTCGGTCGCCCAAATACCTTCTTGGGAGTTTGCAGTAGAGCAAAGCTAGATAACCCCTCACCTTCATCCTCCTCGACTGGCAGAATCTGTGCATTTTGGATGATCTCCACGATACCAGCATCATCTTCCAGCTCTTTTGCTTCCTGATGATCCGCTCGTGTCATCTTCTTCGCGCGGTTGAAGATGGCATGCTCGATCGTATTCTCAAGCACCAGCGTCTCAACAAGCACCTCCTTCGTCTGCCCTATGCGATGTGCTCGCTTGATTGCTTGCGCTTCTATATTGGGTCTGTTGATCGGATTCAAAATGAGTACAATACTCGCCGCATTCAGGTTCAACCCAAGAGCACCGCAGGCGACATCGATCATTAGGACGCGAACGTCCGGATCTTCGGTGAATAGTCGCACATACTCAGACCGCAGTGTATTGTTCAGAGTTCTAGCGTAGATCCGGTGATTGACGTACATGAGCTCAAGGCATTGTGCTATGTACCATGCTGCGTTATCGCCGTCATAGAAGATGATGATCTTCTCAGTGGCTTGATGTTGCATTACCTTGTCTAGCAAATAGCTGAGTTTAGCGGAAGTCGTGCCCACTATTTGAGTTTCATGTAGGGGCGAGCTCGTAGGTAGGTTTGCCGTTTCGTCCGCCAAAGTGAGCTTGCGCTTCTTGGAGCGAAGTGAAGATGTGGCAACTGCCACCCCTGCTGCAGTATCATGGGAACTGTTTTCTGGTTGTCTCTGGGAAGAAGACTGGCCGGCCGTTACGAGAGTCCGCTGACTTGTTGGTGATTGATGGCCATCAATTAATGACAATGGCACCCCGGCTTTGTTCGAGGGTGAGTCAGCATTTGTCTTTTTGTCGCTATCTTGAGCTCTGCCTTCCATTTCTGCCATCGCTGAGACCTTGGTTTTGGCTTCGCATCCCACAGCTTCAAGCCCGACAGCAGGGTCATGTGACAGTATGTTGCCATCAACATGGAGCTGTCCTTCGATCAGTTGTGTAATGCCGATCATTGTAGGTTCTGCTAAATCACCGAGTGCAAAGGTACTGCGTGATTCTCTGGGCCAATCTTTGACAGCCATTCCCACCTCGTGCGCGTTGCTTAGCGCTTTCCAACCCTCCGAAGTCGTCAACTTGGATACGACCTGATAGCTCTCGAGTAAGGCCCGCGAATCTTCAATAGAGCAATTTATGCCATCTTTGGCCAGGTACTTGCTGCTAGTTTCAATTGTGGCGATAACGTCGAACAAACTAAATCCAGTCCATGTGAAGTTCGATTGACGCAAATTTCTTATCAGGGCATGGCGCTCCTTGACGCTGTTCTTATGGAAAAGGTAATCCACGTCAGTCCTTTCACTCGTGATGGCATTCGCGCGGAGTACTTGAACAAAGAGATTTGCCGTCATTTTGTCATACCAGCATGGTTTGAGAAACACAACGCGATGCCGCATGGGAGGCAGAATGATGTCTCTCTCAACATCTTCTGGCCGTGTCTTCACGACTAAGCCTTCCAGTGTCCGTAAAAAGCACGATGAAAATCCAGAGTAAGTCTTTCGATATTGGTGCTCATGGCGATAGATGTGTTCTTCCCAGTCAAGTTTGCCTTCAAAGCTATCACACCAGGGACGGGCCATGAGAAAATTTGAGGCCAGAACTCCTAAAGCTTTAGCAGCCTTGAGGTTATCAGGGTCGAGATTGAACGACTTCCTTTGCTCAATAGCAAGCTTGCGCTGCAATGCGGCGTCGCTTTCGACTTCCATGGTAGCCATATCGACCTCTACGCCGACCAAGTTCTTTGCAGGTGCTGGATGTGAAAATCAGTAAGCGCAATCGGGTTTTATTTCAGTCACTTACTACCAGATACAACCCAGCGCCTTTCTGCTTCGATTTGTTTTGCGACTAGTACGGCGTTTGATAAAGAACTAGAGAACGAGTGACCCTCGTCGATGATGATCCTCAGCCAGTGAATCTTCTTCAATGGCGATTCATAGAATTTGTCGTAGTCGACACAGTTACAGTTAGGAATCCTACTGGCCCCAATGTATGGACATTTACAAGCTCGGGTTACTCCACGGACTGCTCGTCGCCCTTGATCGTCTTGTCCGTCCTGGATCTCTTGTTCAAATCGATTACGCGTAAAGAGAAGTACGTCAAACTTCATCAGCTCAGTGGGGACTGGCAACTCGCTTTGGAATTGCATGTTGTCGTCATCGTACAAATTGCTTTGTAGCTTGCTCCCGCGCTTTGTCACAGTGTCTAGAACTAGCACTTTAAGGCCACCTTGGAGCACGTGTTTTTTGATCTCTGACTGCCACTGGTGCAAAAGATTTCTCGGCACGACAACGATGGTACCGGATGATATTATCAGCTGACGGGGTGGAGGTATCCTGGTGTTTCTGTTTATCCTAGAAAGCTCAGCCGGAATTTCGTAAAATGGAATATTTCGGTCGAGCGCATTTCGATATTTCGTCATGTCTCCGGCGCCATTCGTTTCAGACTGCTCCAAAAAGCTCCGTGCAGGTACAGAATAGCGCCCAAGAATAGATGCCGCCATATCTGATAGTTTTCCTATGCGGTGGCGAACCGGAGGGGGTGGTCGGTAGGCTGCGGGTATCTTGGGTAGAGGGTATTTACTAGCCAGAATTACGGCTAGACAGATGACTGTCTTTCCTAAGCCCATAGTTTCCGCCAAAATCCCTCCTCGAGTGGTTTCGTAATACCGAGGCTCGTGCAAAAAAGATCCGTCACGGCTCCCAAAGTAGAATTTCTTGCCATCGGGTGACGAACGTACTTCTAGCCTTGGATCAAGCTGTAATTGAGGTGCTGCCTCCTTCTGCAACATTGCGCTTGCCGAACGAGCTTGGTAGGCGTACAGTCTGGTTCGTAGCCCGGGGAGTGCTTGTTCGCCATAATCTTCCCATCCTGAGACATTTGCAGATTCCAATAGATCGTTTATAGCAGCTCTTGTATACCGATCCCGAATTTCTCCTGGAACCGGCGCGGGTGATGGTAACTTATTGAACAGATAATATAGCGATGAAAGTTCAGCATCGGCCCAGGGATCGAAGTAGCGTATCTCCTTTTCGTCATGGTCACCGTACCAAGCCTTTGTCGATATGTCAATGGATTTGAGGAGATGCCGTAAGGCGGCCTTCAATTTCTTGCTGTTGCGATCAATGGAACGGCGACCCCAATCTTCTGGCATCAGATATACCCGTACTGAACTCTGAAAATGAGCAGTGCCAGGCGTAAAATTGTGAAGAAAGAGCCGTATCCAGTGTGCCTCGAGGAGCCTGGAAGCTTCGTTGCCAATGATTGCTTTCATCTCTTCTGGAAGCTCATGATATAGCAACTCCATCCACTCAGTATCCGCTTGGGATTTATGAGACGGAAAAAGAGATTCTTGAAAGTGAAGGCAGCCAAGAGCGATATAGCAATCAACATCCTGCTGCTTTGTAGCCAGACTTTGAATGAGGCCATCTTTTGATGAGGCTGAGGTAATTGACATTTGCTCAGCCACATTCGATAGTGGAGTTTTGGGCCGTGATATGGCATATGCGGGATAATCCATGGTATTTACTTGTTCGCTACTTGCGGTGCCTGATGCTGCTCGTGGCGATTCGTTAGTAGGTGGAGTACTAGTCCCGTCCCAGGAGACAAGCCTGGGAACCACGATCGATTCACTCATTTCGAATATTGATTATTAGTCAACCCAGAGGACGGAAAGCATTGAGCCTCAAAATGAGAAGATGAATTTCAGAACAGATTTTGTTGGTCGATATGACTAGTGAGAGAGTCAAGGCAACTGCGAGATGCACGGTGTGGACGTTTCGCGCTAACGCTTTTGGTTAGTGTGATTAGCTGAGCGTCTACAAGGTCTGATTCTATGAAGAAAATCTACAAACGGTAGCTTGATAAAATACTTTTCATGGCTCTGCACACTGCAGAGTACAAGCCCAAAACGCCGATACGCCATGCTAGTTCAAACAATCTACCGCATCTCCTGCTGGCCTGTGGTAGGCTTCACATTGTCGCCTTCAACCCACACGCTTTCCATTGCCTTTTCTAGAATCTGCATGCCTTCCTCGATCTGTGCTTCAGTAATCACAAGCGGAGGGACAAACCTCAGTGTATTTGTACCGCAAGTGATGATTAGAAGACCTCGTTCGCGGGCAGCTGTGACGATGGGCGTAGGGTCTGTGTCCAGTTGGAGACCGAGGATTAGTCCTTTACCCCTAACTTCCTTGATCTGACTCGGGAAGCGGATTCGTAGAGCATCAAAGTGCTTACGGAATGCTTGCTCTTTGGCGGGTATCGAGTCGAGAATCTCTGGAGAAGAAAGACGTGATAGGATATATGAAGCGACGCGCGACCCGAGAGGGTTGCCTCCGAATGTCGTGCCGTGATCACCAGTCTTGATATGGTCACACACATAGTCATTGACAATGGTGGCACCAATTGGGAAACCGTTGCCCAATGCCTTGGCGGTGGTCACAATATCAGGGTGGCATTCCTTGGGGTAGCCGCCGTGAGCCCAGAAGGTGCCTGTTCGTCCGAGGCCGCACTGGATCTCGTCGAATATAAGGACGGCACCGACTTCTGTGCAACGCTTTCGTAGTGCAACAAGGAACTCAGGCGTCGCTACGTTTACTCCTCCTTCTCCCTGGATGGGTTCAACAATGACGCCACATGTCGCGTCGGTGACCAACTCATTGACAGCATCGACATCGTTAAACTTTCCGTACCTGAAGCCGGGAATCATAGGCGAGAATGGAGTTTGATATTTCGGATTGGGTGTTGCGCTCAAACTTCCCATGGTACGGCCATGGAACGAGTTATGGAACGAAATAAACTCATGCTTGTCTTTGTTTGGAGAAATAGATTTGCCCACTTTGCGCGCGAACTTAATGGCAGCCTCGTTGGCCTCAGAGCCACTGTTGCATATGAATGTGCGGGTTGCGCTAGCAAATCCTCCGGTTGCATGGGTGAGCTGGATAAGCTGTTTCGAGAGAAGACCTGTGTGTGGGTTGTGATAAAGATTCGAAGTATGAATCAGTTGTTTAGCCTACATCAATGTCAGTTGATTTCAAGCATTCGTTAGGGTCGCATGTCTTACCTGCTCTGCAATGACTTGCGCTACGCCAGCATCGCAGTGTCCCAAAGCATTGACAGCGATACCAGAGGTAAAGTCAAGATACCTCCTGTTCTCAATGTCCCACATGTAGCATCCTTCTCCCTTTTCGAACATTGGTGGCGGGCGAACATAAGTTGGGACCATGTACGGCAGTTGCTGGTTGACTAGGCCTGCGGTCTTCGAAGTAGCAGGCGGATCGGGTGTTGGCAACGATGCATCGCGCTAGAAAGTGTAAGTAATAGAAATATCATAATCCGAGTTGATGGTAGGCTTACAGCTATTGAGTCTAAGACATCTTGTGGCAGACTTGAACCTTTCAGCCCAGCCGCTGTTGAAGCAAATCGCGCAGACGTGCCATTGATGCGCGGCGCACGCAATACAGAACAAACCCTCCTGGAAGCCATTCGTGCAGCCATTGCGAACAACAGACACTATGAGAAACAAGAAGGAGAAAGCTAGTGTGAAACAATTAGCATTGGTGTGCTTGTTGAGGCATGACTGTTCAGGCGTGACGCAACGCCCAAAATTTTGGGCTGCACATGGAATGCGGGCCGAGGTCGGACTTATCAGCTTACAGGGGATTCATAACACACGGGATATAGGCACAATTTCTGAAAATTCTTGCATCGAAGTATCACCAACGCGAACGACTGTTCGCGCAAGTCTCGTTGGTGTAGTTGGTTATCACGTGGGTCTCATATCCTCCATGCTATGACTACTCTAAGAGTAGAAATCCCAAGGCCGCCAGTTCGAGTCTGGCACGGGACAACTTCGTTTCTTTTTGCTGTTGTGATGTTGGTGATGGCACACATTCATGCATACATACGACTTTCTTTTTTGGACCGTGTCTTGGACGCGTCCGTGTCTTTCATACCGTGGGACACTTGTACGTCGTTCTCCATGATAATCTGAAGTGCAATACATGAAACGTGATGTTCAAGTCTCTATTATTTTCTACAACATACAATATCTCTCCTAGTCGCGTCGTGGAGCCTCGACAACACGATTCATATGTTGTCGTGAATGTTTTGCGATTGTCAGGGGTTCAAGCTGGCGATGACGTGGCCCATTGATGTCATCAACTAGCCAATATCTAATTTCTAATCTCATGATGTGCACTTACGCCTCAAAAGAACCATTGTGTACTTCTTCGTATCGACACTCTGTATCTTTCATTCCAGATATTATCAACGAGCATGCCTCCAGCTAAGAAACAGAAGAACTTGCGCCAGTCTGGCGTCTCCACGCAAGGTTCCCACAGCGACAGCGACAGCTCCGACTCTGCCTTTGAATCTGTGCGCCCCCGCAAAAACAATAAGCGCAAGAGCACGGAAACTGTGAGTGGTGAGAGCCACCACTCGAGCAAGCGTGTAGAACTTGAGAAATTAGCACCATATGACTATGTCTGTATTCCTCGCCCCCTCTTCGATGTCGAGGGCGAGAACTGGCTCACATGGTCAACCAATCCGTCAGCCCATGTCGACGAGGAAGATGTTTATGAGAAGCTGTACGAACCCAAATGGGAGCAGGAAAAGAACGACGGTGTCTACATGTCCCCACCCGAGAAGCATCCAGGACGCAAGTGGGTTATGATGTGGAGTGCATGGCTCAAAAGAAACTTCTTGATCCGAAAAGCCGAGTACTGTGACCCTCACAACTTTCATATGCACATTTACACCGATTGGACAAGTTGGGGTATAATTGAAATTGCGGAGAACATGGTATGTGATGTCACGTTGAACACGCGTATCAGTCGCACGCTAATCAATCTAAAGATGATCGAGTTCAACAAGGCCTATCAATCAAAAGAACCTACACGCCTCGAAGAGATGTGGGCCATCATGAGTGCTGTGGGTTTATGGCTCAATGAAGCGGATTGCGTCAGCCAACTCGTCGAGGGCGAAGGTGAAGATGTAATAATGTTCGTTGGCCTTCTTGGCTGTGCTTTACTCACGACTCTTGCGGCCGTAGAGAAGGCGGGCGAACTCAAGCCCGACTCACGTTTTATGGACCTGGCACTCGTCATCGCCTATTACCTGGAGATATCGTACGATCTTCCTGCCTACGGTGTTGAGGGTGACTGTGTAGCCTGGCGCAAGCATGCCGTAAGCTACTTTGAGAAGGGCAATCTGGATCCAGCCAAGGGCCTGTCGACGACAAAGTTACGGATTGAGAAGCTGAAGAAGGTGAACAATTACAACGAAGAACCTGATGCGCCACATTCCGTAGACAATCTCCCTGGCGAGTATGATGACAATCCCGTATTGAAATTACTCCGGGAAGAAGACAATGGAAAGGAAAATGAGCATCCAGAAGCAACGGACAAGACAGTTGGATCGTCGAACCCGAAGAGCAGTAAAGGCAAAAATACAAAGAAAGAGGATGACGTCTGGAATTGGGCCAAGGTCTTCAAGACATACAAGAAAAAAAGAGATCCAATAATGGGTGGAGAACAGTACGATATCACTAAGCTGACTCGAGCTGAACGAGCGAGGTGGGCGTTTGATCACAAAGATCCCCTTGCAGATATACCGACCAAGGATTTGAAAAACAACCTTGTAGATTTTGAGTGAGAGCCATTTACCGGATGTTTTGGTGGGAATGGATAGGAACGGCGTTGGCTCAATTCTTTGTTTGATTTGGATTTCCACATGTTGTATTATACCCTCAATTCTTTCGTAGCAAAATTCGTATTGTATATTATATTTCCAACTCCCGACTCTACTGCACACATCCTCGAGTATCCACCGGCCAGATTTCTTCAATAACTCCCTTTCGGTGCGCATAATACACATCATGCAGATTGACCGTGGGATCAATATGGCTCGGAATCATCTCCACCCTATCCCCTATCCTCAATTCACTCGCCTTTCCCTCTTCCCACTTGAGACTCCCATGCTCATCACCCAACACCCCATACTCATACCCCTGCGTCTTACACTCCGCCAGCCCGGAATCCGTCGTCAAACTCTTCAGCCCGGCATCAATCGTAATAACATTGGGCCCCTGCTTGCTCAGCACCGTGGACAAAATGGTCAAACTCTGCTTGAAATGATGCCCGCCGACCGCATTCCTGTAATCCGTATCCATGAAAAGAAACGACCCAGGCTGCACCTCCGTGATCCCAGGCACCCTCGCACAAAACTCCGCCGTCCCCGTCCCGCCCGTAGTAACAACATCAATCTTATGCCCTTCCTTCCTAAACGCCTCCGCCGTCTCAACCAGCACCTTCATACTTTCCAAACACAGCTCTTTCCTCTCCTCCAACCCATACACATGCTGCAAATGGCCCTCATACCCCTGCACCCCAATCAACTCGAGATGCCTCGTCTGCGCCACAAACGCCGCAAGTTCCTTCGCTGGCACCCCCGGCTGCACGCCCGTCCGATGAAGTCCAACATCCAAATCCACCAGCGTCTTGACTTCCTTCCCTTTAAACCCGCGTTCCGCAAGCGCATCATCGATAGCAGCAGCGCCTTGCACACTGTCTACCACAATCCTTACTTCAGGATACTTTTCCAGTAGTTCGACTAGCCGTGCAACTTTTGCAGCCCCGACGACTTCGCACGTGATAAGCAGGTCGGAGAAGCCCTTTGAGCACATTACTTCGGCTTCGGAGAGTTTGGCCACGCAGCCGCCTTTTGCACCGGCGGCGACCATTTTTTGGGCTACGATGCTGGATTTGCTGGTTTTCAGGTGTGGGCGGATGGAGACGCCGGTGGGGAGGAGTTGCGACATTAGGGTTTGGAGGTTGGATTCCATGATGTCGAGGTCGACGATCATGGAGGGGGTGTCTAGTGAGGCGATGGGGTCGCCGATTTTGGGGGCGTAGGGCATTGCTGCTGTTGGTGTGGTGGTTAGGTATATGTTGGTCCGGTTTGTCGTCAGGCTTTGGCAATGTGTGGTGTAAATGAGGGGAAGTAATTCTGTGGCAATCAATTGTTTATCCAGTTTTTTTTTTGCAAAAGGTCAATGACTTGGAGGATATATGAATTTTGATAGTATCTCAGGATATTTCAGTATTGAAGACTATATTCAAAGAGTCAGAGCGAGTATCGGACTTGGAGGTGGTGCTGACGATAAGGCATCTCCGAGGTGGAGAGGTTGCTGTTGCTGTAGCCCAAACGGGTAAGCCGGGCGTCAAAGCCACCTTCCGAACGCGATAGTAGAATTGTAGATCTTTGGGGTTCTGCTGCTGACTCGCTGTGTTCCTGAAAATCTCATCAGGTTACACTTGGATGGTTGCATGTAAACGTAACTGTCTGGAAATGGGTCTACGAGTTGAAGGCTGGTGCATAGTATGTTATGAGTACATTGTATGCAGCACGCTGCAAAGAACAAATCGAGTAGACACTAGAGGGTATCAAACTCGGTTTTCTTCAGAAAGACACCAGATTGAGTTGTATGAGGAGAGATGAAGATCCGTATTACCAATTTGTATCATGAGCACGTATTAGTCGGTGAATCTATAGCCTAGATGCAGTGATGCCAAAACACAGTAAGCGCAAGTAAGCTACTGATTCCTAATTCGCGACGAAAAAAGCGAGTCAATAGTTTCTTCTAGTTGACCAGTCCACGACTTAAACCTTGCAACCCTTGTGTCCATTCTGCTGCCACATTTTTACGCTCTTGACCTTCATCTGCCCACCATCCTTCCACGTAGGCAGCCACTGATTTCTCGCCTCCCAGAAATCGAGCTTAGCACGAGCACTCTTGTCAATCCATGGCTTACCGCACTTGCTATCTTCGAACCAGCCGTTTGTTGATCCGACACCCAGGTTGATGACGAGGTAGAAGTCCTGGTCAAAGGGCGACGTGTTGCTATTGGTGTGCGCCCACGGGTTGTCAAGACGGGTGCCGTTAGCATCGGCCAGAGGAAAGCCACCGTACTTCCAGAATGGCTCGTCGAAATGTGTGTACATGACTTGGAGAAGGCGTGTGTTGATGTACGTAAAGATGTACTTCTCAGACCACTGGATTTTGGGTTAGCGTCACCGTGCTGGAATTCAAGTGAATGATGAAACGAACCTCGACACCAAAGGTGTTGTATCCAGCTGCATACGTGGTGTGTAGTGCCTTTCGCTTGACATTGTTACGCCACCAGCCGTTGTGGTTGGAGTCGGGACCGAATTGCAGCGTACTGGAGACGATGTTGTTTCCACCCTGAGCATAGCCAGGTGCATTACCACGCGACTCCATAATATCGATCTCACCAGAGCGGGGCCAGGGACCATAGACACTGTCCTTGGGCAACATAGAGATGGATGGCCACAGCCAGTCTCCAGCGGGCAGTTTGGCAACGACCTCGACGCGTCCATACTTGATCGAAGCACCGAGCTTGGTGTTGATGCGACCGGACTTGACAGGGTTGACGATAGTACCATTTGTTGTGTTGGTAGATGCAAAGCAGTCCGTCCAGGCTGGGCCAGTACAGCCGTGACCGCGGAGATCAATGATGTGGTCCTGCATAATGAATTCCTCATTCTGGACAGTAGGCTTTATGACGAGCTCGCCATTGTCGATGAAGACGTTCTCATGTGTGTCGGTAGTCATCTCGAATTGCCCGTTACTGCATATCAAAGTCAGTCTCGAGCTGCTTCACATCCGAGTGCTGTCACCTACCCAAAACCGCCAAGCTCGACCTCCTTTGTCCAGAGACTTTCATTCCAAGAAGTGAAGTTGTCGTTGAGAATCTCGCAGTAGCCGTGCTGCGCAACGGACCTCAATCCATCCCAAATGAGTATTCCTGTTACGGCCAAGCCAAGAGCCAGACCAAGGAGGGGAAAGATTGTAACCCATATCTGCCGGGGGTGTTTCTTGTCGAGCCACGGCTGCTGAACATCTTCAGGCTTAACGCGCCGTGATCGAAAGAACTCATCCCTGTATGGGTTCTGGTAGCCGGACACGGCTGGCGAAGGGGTAGTCTCCATTGTGTACAGTGAAAAACAAAAATGTAAAGAATGGAGAGCGAGTGTGTAGGAGATGCCATAGGTATGTAGGACATATCCCTTTTATGGACATGTTCGTTTTACAATTACCAGTAGATGACGACTTGGGCGAAGCCGGAGTGCTGGAAGTTAACCTTTGAATCTCTAATCTGCTGAGTTGGTTGCTGTGGATCTATCCGAGCTGTCTTTCCAGTCTGTTCTAGCAATAAAAAGGCTGCCAGTCGGTTTAATGATATTTAGTAATTTAGTTTGCGTTGGTAAAGACTCTCACCACTACTGCATCGTCACGCTGCGGTCATGCGCTCAACATGTGCCGGTCGCTCTGTTCTCACTGGCTATTTTAGATGTTCTGTTGGTATTTATCACCCCGCGCTCTAACGCCGATAGATCCATTGGGATTGCACCATGAAGCTGGGTGGGCCAACATGACAGATATCATCCTTGTCAGCCCACTAGGTGTACCAGATTACTTTCCTAAAGTCCGTCAGTGGCTGCAGAGGTTAGTAAGACAGCTGCATAAAATTTGGTAATGGCTCTGAGATGCAAATTTAGTATCGCTACCGGAGACGTAACGAAGATTACCTCAAAAGAAATCTTTCACTGGGATATGGTTCAATAGGAAGATATGGGAATATTCAAACAGTTGATTGAGCACTGACACATACCGAGCCTCTTCGTAAGGTCGTGATTTCATCTTAGAGAAGCATATCCATTTGAAAGTATGGAGGAAGCTCTCGTAGCCGGAACTATGCGTTCGCAGCCAAACTAAGGTAGATACCCCACACAACACCCACTGAGGCTCCAAAAACAACCCTCTTATCGACAGGGATCCACAGGAAGCTAATAAGACTTATCGCTGGCCAGAACTTGTATCCGTCTTTCATCATGGACCACGTCTTGTTGATGCAATCGCTAGTAACCACATCCAAAACGTTTACGCCCGGTTTACCCTGCGCATTAACGTATGCCATATAACTCACGAACATGAGCGTATTGACAACAGCGCCAATCGTTTGATCAAGGATGAACTTGATCAAAACATTTCTTCTGCTCATGGTTGTCTTCGCAGGCTCGGATTTGGACGCGGATTTCTCGGATGAGGTAGAAGCCGGTGCTGACGGAACATTTGTAGGAAATTGGTCTTCTAGGAAGCCCTGCCAAATGATATTGGGCGGCGTGCTGAGGACGCTGAAGACGACGAATTTGAGTACGGATTGGTAATTGAGAGCGAAGGGCGTCTAGGACAAATATTAATTGCCTGGCTTTCACATGAATTGTTCCACAACAGTACGTACATCATCTTTGTAGGATGATATGGCTTGCGCGAGTACGTTGGACGTTACGCTGAGTGCTGCACCTTGCAGTGTCTGCGATATCATCGACATCTTATCGTGGAGTATGTATTCTGTTATCGTTGGAGAGGTTTTCGTTTACGTGGCTAGGAATTTGAGTTTGCGAACTCGGTAAACGAAAAAGGATATGATCTAAGTACCGCAGTGATTCCGAATGCAAGGAAAGAAACAGATTGGGGTATCGCAAGTATATCAATGTGGCCAGTAGTACAATTTCCACCGAGGCTGGAATTGTTGCAGCGATGTTTCGACCGGGCGCGTCTCGCGTAGCATGACTAGCGTCCTGACGTCAATCAAGGCCGCAGCTCCAACGCCCGCCATTTGCGCACTGTCGGTCCGGCTGAACCAGATTGGTTCCCTTGTGCCTGAGAGTATTCTACATCTGATATTCACACTGTTCAGCAATGCACCCCAGAGTTGACCAAAATGCGGGGTCGATATTGCGCCAAGCCAGTATGAGCTGACTGCAACGATCCTAGTATCGGCAGATGTCTCAAGATGTTTGTTGTCTTCTCAGACTGAGTGTGTTGGTTCAATATTGTATTCATGCCACCAACGCTAGATAGAGCGCTTCTATGGATCCTGTCGTCTTGCTACTACTACAGTTTGTCTTCTCCTTTGTGGCACTGAATGGCCAACTCTTCTCCCGGCCAGTGTTCTTCATAATTTTCGCACCCTTCGGCGCCTCAATCCAGTATTGCTTGCTGGCTACTCCTAGTTTATTCGTTCTAGTATCCAGGAAGGCTGACTTTAATCGAATGTCTTGGCTCTTCATTTGACAGCATTGATCCCGGTCTCAATCCCATGTTGGACTACCACCTTCCTAGCCAAGCAGAGACGTTTGTGTGCATGTGATGTCCGGATCCGAGGTAAAGAACTCGTAATCCGTGATGGAGTCATGTGCGTTACGAAGCCCCAGACTTATGCCGTGCCGGAAATATGTACCAGACAACAGCTAGAACTGTAAGTTCTAGGCTGTCTTGGCCCAGTTTGTTGTAGTTGATATCAGCTGTTGTATCAATTGCGTCGATTCCGCGAAGAAGAAAACCTCCATATTCAAGGCATCAATTCTTCGCGGTAGAAGTCTGCCATGCCTTCCCTAGTAACCTTTCGAAGTTGTGCGCCCGCGCGGCCCAACTCCCCGCCAGCCTTTATGGCTTCTTCCAATCCTGCAACGATAGCAGCCTCGGCGCGTTCGTGGAATACCCTTTGCCGGTCCTCGCGGTCTTCATACATTTCTGCTTCTTCGTCTCTTGCGGCACCAAATAGATTGAGGTGTGCATAGGCATTGGACCGTTCTGATAACATGTGGTGCTGGGTGTGCCAAAGTGGAAAATCGGTTGCGTTGATGTCAATGGTAGTTGCTGATTGTGTGTGTGAGAGTCCAGTGCGGAGAAATGAAGTCAACACGCTCATTTGCCTCACTTGCATTTTCGAATCAGCTTTCCCATATGACCTCCCTGTTGACCATTTGCTTGCTGCTTCACTCTGCCAACCGAGTAGGCTGAGGAAGCATTTCAACATTTTTACCCAACCACCGGCGCAACTGACTACTTCATCACCTGCGACTTGAAGCAACCATTCAAGCATATCGAGACCAAACAGACGGATTTCGGTTGCTAGATGCGTCATAGCAGCTCTTGTGTGAAGGAGCAGCTGATCTGCATGACCGGCAATATCCGTCGGTGGTAAACTCTGCAAAAGTTTGAGTAACTGCTGGCGAACGCTCTTTGTGCCATCGAGAATAAGGCGCTGAGCCGTAGGGATGATGACAGATGACGGTTGGGGTAATGGAGCTGTGGGCGGATTGCTAATGATTGCTGAGGTTAAAAACGCCAGCGATTCTTTACGCTGCGAGTCAGCCTTGTGATTGAGTAGACCTAGGTGATGGGCACATTGCGCCTCTAGAGTTGGAGCACTAGTAGAAAGAGCTTGTTGTTTCAACGCAATTGCTAATAAGTGTTAGTGGTTTTCGCAATCCCGGCTATCGCGCATCTTACACTTTGCGCGGAAACTGGTGTCTGTCGCATTTGCCGCCTTTGGTTTTGCTTTTCCAACCTTTAATTTTGGTTTCTAAAGTTTTGTTAGCTACAGTCACAAGAGTACCAGATTGATCGTCCATTACCTGGAAATCCTTCTTTTTGCTCTCCTTCTTCTTTTTCGAGCTCGCTGTCATGATGCCGTTCGCGTCGCGTCTTCTAAATTAGTTGGGTATATATTTGCTAGCAGGCGACTACGAAACAAAAGGTTCGAAAATTGGAAGCAATCTCAAATCGATTACAGCGATGATGTTGAAGCGCGCGCTCGAGTGTAAGTAGCAGGAAAATTAAAGACCCATGGATGCCGCTAGTGCGAAAGAGGCCTAAAAAGGACATGGCTTGGCAGGGTCCAGCTGCGGTCTTGTCTGCCGATGTCATTGGCAATAACCTGACCGCGACCACATCTCTTACCCCGCCTCTTTGCCCTGTTTCACTGAACATGGCCCAAAACGCGGTATTTAGTATATGTTTTCTTTTGGATTGTTGGTTGACTAACTAATGACCCAGCCAGACGAGACACTCGCATTGCTCACCCGCTTGAGCCAGAAGCCTGGTGTACAGAGCACTCTCATATTGTCGCGCGAGAATGGCAACATAATACGCACCTCTGGCCTCATCTCGAAAAGCTCGTCTGCAAACCCAAACAGCACCCTTCCAGCTTCTGGAGAATCCACGTCCGAGAGCTACGCGAACGGCAGAAAGGAGAGCGGGATTCATAGCGCGGAAGATGTCGCGAGCTCGGTGTGGTCGTTCTTGGCCGCAGCAGGAAGTCTCGTCGATGAGCTAGACAAGGAGGACGAAGTGAAGCTTTTGCGGTTGCGAACCAAGAAGAATGAATTGGTCATTGTACCGGGTATGAATATCGTACGGGTTACCATGTGCCATGTACTAATCTACAACCAGATCCCAAATTCATTCTCGTCGTTATCCATGATACCCCTCCTGCCTAGGGCCTTTGACAGACTCACTGCAAACTGGAATTGTTTTTTACACAAGCAACAAGATACCCCACTAGGTTGAATAGCGCAATAGACTGGTTCACTAATGAGCTTCGCTAATTTCGACTTGATTAACATCAACACCGTCCTTGAACCATCGATCTGGAAATGCCATTAGGGGACTGTATCGGTCGAAAATAAGCACCAGAGGACTTACCAGCTTCTTGAATATTGATGTCATTGCCGCTCATCTGCCGCTTCCGCATCTTTCCGTCCTCGGCAAAGGTCCAGTCTTCCAAACCATAGCACCGCTTCCATTTCATGCCATCATGGGAATCCTGGAACTCGTACCAGAACTGCACTGCAATCTTGTTGTCGGTAAATGCGAAAAGCTCCTTGCGCAGGCGATAGCTTTTCTCCTTCTCCCACTTCTTAGTCAAGAGGTCCTCAATAGCTGCAGTGCCTACGAGGAACGATGATCGGTTGCGCCAGACACAGTCGGGAGTGTAGGCCTGGGCGATTACCTGGGGGTTTCTAGAACAATCAGGTGGCGCAGAAGCGTAAACATGTGCCAACGTACTGGGTATTCCACAGGTCCTGGGCCTTCTTGACCTTGGCATGGGCGGTTTCTTTGGTGAATGGTGGTGCAAGAGACATGGCTCGATCAGATTGAATTACTCCAGATGATTTGTGAAGATTTCAGAGTTCGCTCTGGCTGAACTATATACTGTCTAACTTGCCGTGGTGTCGAGACATACTCTCACTCTAATGTGCCGAGCTCTTGTTTGGTATCGGCACATCGGCATTGTTGGATGCCTAGTGTGTAAAACAATGCCGCTTTGATCATTCTCAAATGATTATGTGATGGTCCCTCAGCACTCTACATACTACTAGCATCCATAGTCATGTTTGAACATAAGGCCTAAAGCATTGTCGTTGTTGTCGTTGCCTGCCGCGACCTCTGCCACGCGCTGCTGCCGATCGCGGTGGACCCCACGCCCCACTTCGATATCGATAGCAAAGGGAAGCTTCTCGAACCAAGCAACCCATCTCAGACGCTCGAGTAGCGCATACGTAGGAAAGGACAAAGATGCCGAGGCTTTGCATCAAATGACAAAGCTCCAGCATACTAGGCGCGCAGCACTCCGAAGGTCTAGGACGTTCCAATTGACAAAGCTAGCCGCCCAGAGCCGCCGTTCTATAGTAGCTTTACCCAAGCATCAAGGTAGCAGTAGCATCATCTCTGTATTAGTCCCCACCATTCCATCACCAGCTCTTCAGCTTGCTCACTCAGGTACCCGCATCACGCCCTCTCATAGGCCGAGAAGATTTGTCAAAAGCAACGCAGCGCGAAAAACCCCCGGTCGCATAACCCCAAAACGAGGCAGTTTGTAATTTGTACGCGGACGTACATATATGTAACTTGTTCAGGGTACCCGGCGGCCCCTTGGCGGCAAAGATGACGCCAGAGCTGTCGCACTTTCCGCCAGCAAAGAGCCGTATCCGCTGTGTGGTTGTCTTTTTGCCCCACTATTCTCATCTCGAGAGGGCTATACGCAAGAAGCTTCGAGGTAAGGGGTTTTCGGCCGGCCAAAGCAAGCAAAAGCGGGTGAAGCGGGCAAGGTTTGCCCCTCCTTTGCTTGGGTCCCGCACCCTTCCTGGCCAGCTAGTACTTAAGTTAGATAAAGCTCCTTGGGTTTCTTGCTCGGAGTTTTCTTTTACTTGTAATTGATTGAATCGATATATACAAAGCTTTCTTCACACTTTGGACTACCTTTCTCTCACACCTTTTACACTTTCACGTTTCACATACAACAATTGCAAAGATGGCTCCTCTCAAGGTTGGCGACAAGCTCCCCGAGGGCGTCAAGTTCGAGTATGTGCTTCCCTTCGTCTAGTACTCTCAAATGGGCACTCGGTGCTTGCTTGCTTCACAAGATAAATACTGATCTTCTCTACAGATGGGCCCCCATCACCGACAGCGACCCCACTGCATGCGGCCGTCCTCAAGAATACGACGCAAGCAAGGAGTGGGCTGACAAGAAAGTCGTCGTCTTCTCCGTTCCCGGTGCCTTCACTCCCGGCTGCCAGGCGTATCACCTGCCACCCTACATTGCCAAGGCCAAGGAGTTCAAGGACAAGGGCGTCGACATCATCGCGACGATTGCGTCCAACGATGCGTGGGTCATGAATGCGTGGGGCAAGGTCAACGGCGTAAAGGGCGACGAGGTCCTATTTCTGAGTGACACCAAGACCTTTTTCAGCAAGAACTACGGTTGGGATGCTGGCATGGGTGACCGCAACGGTCGCTGGGCTATGGTTTTCGACCATGGCAAGGTCATCTATGCTGAGAACGAGAAGAGCCCTGGTGAGGTTTCGGTAAGTTGCTCTGCATCCGGATTGATTCGGATTGTGCAAGTCTAACAATGTGCAGGTCTCTGGTGCTGATGCCGTCCTTGCCAAGTTGTAAGCATTGACAGCGAGTAGCAAGCGTCTCGAGAAGTCGCTGCAAACTTACGATACACCTAGTCAACGTCGCAGAGACGAATGAATGGAATGAAGAACAAATCACCATGTCAATTCCAATGCGTATGTGATGCCCGGCTCGGACCGCGGAGCCTATTAGACCATATTGTGTAGACATATTCGAGACGTCGCTGTGCACGTCATGTGCGGCAAGGTGATTCAAGTTCGTGTTTGTATTCATTGCTGGTCGAATGCTCAGCTTGGATCCCAACTTTTCCATGCCCACGCTTGCTTGCAAGCCAACGAATTGGGCCCTCGACCATAGTCCGTCTCGCATGGCTGCTTCTGTTCCGACATCCGTAATGACGTGATATATACAAACGCCATCCTGGCACGCTCAATCAAACTAGTTGTGTTGTTAGCCAAGAGTTCGTGATCGACAGCGGGGCAAGACGTACAGGAGTAAGGAAAGATTCGGCAACGAAACGTGCTCGTGCGTTCAACTGGGCAATGTTAGCTCATGCCACCCATAGATTGTCAGCGGTGCCTTACGAAGAGCTTCATTTCAGAAATCTCCTTGTCGACCTCCTCCATGAACTGGATAATAAAGTCAACCAGCTTGTGCTTCAGCATCTCCTCAGTGTGAGCGTTGGTGATCAGGAACGAGATGTCGTAGCCCTTGACTGGCTTCCTCCGCAGAATGTAAAACGACTCGGCTCTTTGGGTCAAGAACCGTGTGAACTTGTGGACCAGAATGTGCTCAATTTCATCTGCCTGCTTGATCTTGATGCTTATTCGCACACTGTTGATACTGGGCTCAATGTATACGCGCTCATTCTCGTTTCTCGATACGGTGAGGGGGTTTAGGATGACCTCGGGGGAGCTTGCAGCCTCAATCTCAGGAACATTGTGACGCTCCGAGGCTTGCGAGGCAAAGTTGGAGAGGGAGAGGGCGGCCGTGAGGGACGAGCGCACGCACTGGAGGTATGGGCGGAGAGATTGGGACTGGCGGACGTTAGCAATGCCCAAGTAGTCGGGCAGCAGAGGAACTCATAAAGACATACCATTGTGAGGCGAGCTCGGCACCAGCTCTGTGTTCAGATGTCAGGACTGCAGTCAAGGGAAGAAGGCGGGCTATGACATGCCAGCACTGGGAGTTGGCGCTGCCTGCAGGTGGTTGTTAGTGGGGCTGGAGCTCCGGGCGGCGGCTGAGCTTGGCGCGGCACCTCTTCCTCATGATTCGGCCGTCGACCATTACATGTCGCCCCACGATTGCATTATAAGTCTTTCTTTCGCCTCCGCCCCCGAGACCCCATACACATTCTTTGCACAGTAGTCGAGTAGACATCATGGCGTCTATACCAGGTATGTGGTGATATACCGTCACTTTTGGATCGTTTGCGTACTGACTTGAATGTTTGTAGTAATCGTAAAGCATCAGGGCAAGAAGCACGAGGTCGAAGTGGATACCACATCCAACGGCGAAACATTCAAGTACCAGCTATTCTCTATCACCGGAGTTGAGCCAGAGCGCCAGAAAGTCATTGTCAAGGGTGGACAGCTCAAAGATGACACCGATATGTCCAAACTGGGCCTCAAGCCCGGCCAGACTCTGATGATGATGGGAACGCCTTCGGGCACCGGAGTCGTCATTGAGAAGCCCAAGGTCCCCACCAAGTTCTTGGAGGACATGGACGAGGCAGAAGCCGCGCAGCTCGAAGGCGCCACACCTGCCGGTCTTCAAAACTTGGGCAACACTTGTTATATGAACTCTACACTACAGACGCTCCGGTCCATCCCAGAACTTCAGGAAGAGCTTCTGCGGTATTCCGCAAGGTATGGATTCCCCCCGAATACTTGTTTGCGCTATACTGATTACATACAGCAATGACGCCGGTTCATCCAGCTCCGCGCAGCAACTCAGCCAGTTCGGCCTCGGTGGTCTCGGTGCCTCGACTGACCTCACGAGCTCCCTCCGCGATCTGTTCAAGCAAATGTCCGAGACACAGCAAGGGTTCCCTCCGCTCATGTTCCTCAACGCGCTCAGAACGGCCTTCCCCCAGTTCGCACAAAAAGCAAAAGATGGTCATGGCTACGCACAGCAGGATGCCGAAGAAGCTTGGTCACAGATAGTATCGCAACTACGACAAAAGCTCAAGGTCGCCGAAAAGGATGCGTCAGGTGCGGATAAGCAGACCATGTCTTGGATTGACAAGTATATGTCGGGAAGGTTCGAGTCGGTCATGGAGTGCGACGAGCCTGCAGCAAAAGAGGGTGGCGAGGAGGCAGTTCACAGCGAGGATCTATTCTTCAAGCTCAACTGCCACATCAATGTCGAGACGAACCATCTCCGAGATGGCCTCGCCGCTGGTCTGAAAGAGAAGATTGAGAAGCGATCAGAAGTTCTAGGACGAAATGCCATGTACACGAAGACTTCCAAGATTGCACGCCTGCCCAAGCACCTTCCAGTCCACTTTGTACGCTTTGACTGGCGACGAGACACCAACAAGAAGGCAAAGATCATGCGCAAGGTCACCTTCCCAGAAGAGCTGGACGCATTAGAGTTCTGTACCGACGAACTGAGGAAGGCTCTTGTTCCCATACGTGATAAGATTCGCGATGTCCGCAAGGAGGAGGAGGATCTCGAGCGCGCCCGCAAGCGACAAAAGCGTATGAGGGCTGGTGAAGAGAACGATACTGAACCCACCGCCTCTAAGGAACCTCTGCAGAAGAAGAAGGAGGCCGCAGAAAAGAAGGAGGAAGCCAGCAAGCCTGAGGATGCTAAGATGGAGGATGTCGAGTACAAGACCGATGCTCAAGTCGAAGCCGAGCGTATCGCATCGATCGTGGCTGCCAAGAAGGAGCTCCTCGCACTTGTGGATCCCAAAATGGCCGCTGATGAAGGAGCCAACCAGACGGGTCTCTACGAGTTGAGAGGTGTCATCACCCACCAGGGCGCCAGTGCTGACAGTGGTCACTACACATCCTTTGTTAAGAAGCAGGGAGCCAAGGATCCAGTCACTGGAAAGCGAAAGGAGGAAGACGGCAAGTGGTGGTGGTTCAATGACGAGAAGGTTTCCGAAGTTGATTCTGAAAGAATACAAACTCTCTCTGGTGGAGGTAAGTGTTTCCGCCATTTGGTATGATCCGTGACTGACATTGGCATAGGACAAAGCCATTCGGCTCTTATCCTCCTCTACCGCGCGGTCCCCCTGCCAGTCATTGAGGAGGATGTGCAGATGGGTGACGCATAGAATCAATCAACGACTGACTCCATAGATGGCGTTTAGGATGCCATTGTCGCTATATGGCAAAGTAGAAGCGCGGGCTAAGCGAAGGACGACGCATGACACTGGCGTTGACCTAGCTGAAAGCGCTATGAGAGATACTCTTTGAACTATGAGTAATGAGGGCACGACTTCTAGACTTGCATTAATAGATATTGTCCGATCGTTCTTGTTTATGCCCTCGCGTCCAATTCACTCCGCGTCGTAAAAACGCGTCGACGTGTTGCCAAGCTTCACGACGCCCGCATCCAGCACTTCTGTGTTCTTTCCGCAACAATCTCCTAGACTTTCTTTCAAGCCTTCCTATCTGCAGTTTACCTTTTCCTTCTTTACTGTATCATACTATCGCCGCAGTCTTTCGTTTCACGTCTTAACCGCCACCATCATGTTTTACAGTCACGAAAGTAGGCTTCCTTTCAGGACTCTAGCCCAGAGACTCAACTGACTTTTATAGTTCTTACGTCACGTAAATATGGTGTGGCGACTGTGTGGTTAGTCATGATAGCTGTCAGTTACTCCTTCCCTCGACTGACAGAAACGGCAGGCTCGTTGCAACCCTAGGTGCCAAATCAAGCCTGAAGCGCATCAACCGCAAGCAAATTCTCGACGTCGATGTATCCAAAGCATGCCAAACCATCATCGATCCAGTAGCTCCTCTGGCTTTACGTTTACAGGGAAACTTGTTGTAAGTCACTCTGCTCACCGGGCAGCATACGCAGCACTGTTAACACGTGCAGATATGGACTATCGCGAGTGTATCTACAGCAGTGCGGATATATTCTTTCTGACGCACAGAATGCTCAACTTGCTCTGAGAATGGCCTTACGGACAGTTCAAAATACCGAGCTTGATCCAACTGCCGGCAAAGCCAAGTAGGATATCATCATCCGCCCCTTTCCGGAACAGTCAGTTAATAGATATACTTAGTCCAGAGCAACTCATGCTACAAGATGATCCCTCGTTCCTCCCCGATTTTGCTCCTCCTCCACCAGAACTACTCACTGATCTAGACTGCAACTTCAACCTCGACATAACACACTCCGGCAAGTCACAGTCTTTGACACCGTTTGGCTCTCAGCTATATTCATCTTCTCCTCATGTTGGGACTGCAGGTGGTCTTGTTCTCCCTACTTCTTCCCCTGTAACTCCAGGCGGATTTAGATTCGAAGGCGACTATGGAACAGGCAGCATTGGTTACCACAGTGCCATGCTTGGAGCTGGCGACACAATCGAAATCGGAGACCCAGATTTTGAATTTGGGGATGATGGCGAGATCATTCAGCCGTCGCCAAGTACTGTGTCGCTCAGAACCCCGGCCACGCCTGCACGTGCGCCCAGGTCTGGGGATGCTGGTCAGAATGATAAGGTGAGAAAGGAACCTCTACAGGGACAACAGGCTCTTGATCAGGTGAGTTATTTAGTGATCATTTATATTTCTCTGCACTGTCTAGTCAGTCGTTTCTTTCACCTGGGTTGTGGTTGTGGCTTTGCGACAAGTCGTCCACGTTCCCAGGACATTCAGCTCGTTGACGCAAATACTTCACCTGACCTGTGGAAGCATGCCCCAAACACTGCCTTCTTATTCTCTTTTCTCTCATTTGTCTCATTGTTTACTTGTCTTACTTTCTATGTCTACATACAACCCAAAACACATACCATGGGTGCTAATATATATCAGTTGCCAGACGATGAGATGCATATTGCGCTTCCCGGCGAA